ATTGGTACATCATATCTTCACTTACAAATGATAGAACACAGATTAAACAGTGATCTAGAGCTTCTCAATACCTAGGCCAACAGATGGCTAGTTAAGTTTAACCCGGACAAAACAACATTTATTCTGTTCACTCATTGTAAAAACCGCACTGCAGATATTATTTATAACAATACCGCATTTAGCGCATCTTTCTCGCACAAACATCTGGGCGTTACTCTCACGTTGATAACATTTGCCGCTTAGCTTCCAAAATGATTTGTTCGTTAAGAACCGTTAAATATTTACTTTACAGACCAACCCTGTCCAAAGTCCATCTTGTTTTCATAAGGCCAATATTAGAATATGCGTCAGAGGTATGGGGTAATTGCAGTCAAGAAAATTCCGAAAAAACTTTAAATGATTCAACTCTAAGCCGGTCGCATAGTAACAGGTCTCCCTAAATTCTCCTCAAGATCGAGTTTATAATTTGAGACAGGATGGGAATCACTATCTTATAGAAGGAAAAATTAAAAAAACTTTGTACAATCTACAGTATTTTTACAAGACACGTTACCAGCCAAAGTATCAACTATTAGTAGATATGGGTTACGAAATCAAAACAACATGAATTCGCCGCATGTACGAACAGTTACGTACCAACAATCATTTATACCTTCTTCAATCAAATTATGGAATGAGTTACCCCCTGAATACAGAAGTGCAACATCATTATCAAATTTTAAACATATGATTAAAACAACCATTGCAGCTCCAGCTCCATACTTCTCAACCGGCAACCGAAAAGCTAATATTTTGCATACACGCCTAAGGCATTCTTGCAGTTCCCTAATTGCAGACCTCTTTAAAGTAAATTTATCTGATATTTGTCCTGCTCTTGTGGAAACCCATGTGAAAACAACATACACTTTTTTCTTGAATGTCCCAATTACATTATTCCCAGAAATATCATGTTCGCTAACATTATAAAAGCTGGAACAATATGCACAATACAAAATATTCTCTACGGTTATGTATACCTAGACGAAAGTCACAATAACCTCATCTTCAACAGCGTTCAAAAATATATACTGTCGACTAATAGATTCGAGTAACCCTTTATCATAAATATAGAATATCGCTCTGCGACCACTTATTATTAATTACGCCATTAGTGTATAAACTGCATGCATGTATATGAATACATGGATATCTCTGCCTCCTTCTGTAAGCATAATGTTTACGGGTATGTATATCCTGGTGTATGTGTCTAAATATGTGTATGTGTATGTATATACATGTATGCATGCGTATACAAGGGTATATGTGTATGTATGTAGTGTGTGTATGTGTGCATATATGTACATGTATATAAATGTATGTATGATTGTGTAATTATATATGTAGTCTTGCATGTATTTTGGATTAATGTGTATATACAAGTAAATTGTGTTTATATAGGCAATTCTTATGTATGTCTATGTTATTCTTGCAAACATTATGTTTATGTTCTTATGTAAATACATTTCTCTTTGTTACTATAAATGTAACATGCATATGTATATGAGTATGTGTATGTATGTATGAGTATGTATGATTGTGTGTATATATGATTATGTATATAAGTCTGTATTTCTGTATTCGTATGTTTATGTATGTGTGTATGTATATGTGTATATATATGTATAATCAATGTCTGTACATATAGAGTAGGGAAAGGACCACCTAAGTTGGATAACTTTTGCCCAATCCCGTTGACCATATATGTCAATAAAACTAACTAACACTGACTGTCAAGGTATGGTTGGAGGGTGGCGGAGTTACGTCCCTTCCCCGTCAGTGTGCGAGCCGGCCACATATTTTGTGTGTTGTCTTTCACCACAGTGAGTGAGTGAGAATGGCTTTATGCCACTTTCAGCAATATTCCAGTAATCTCGTGGCAGATGAGTGAGTGAGTGAGTTTGGTTTTACGCCGCTTTTAGCAATATTCCAGCAATATCACGGCGGGGGACACCAGAAATGGGCTTCACACATTGTGCCCATGTCGGGATTCGAACCCGGGTCTTCGGCGTGACGAGCGAACGCCTTAACCACTGGGCTACCCGACCGCCCCTCGTGGCAGATGAACATTATGAATGGGCTTCACACACTGAACCATGTCTTCGGCGTGCGTGTATACAGATATTCACGTTCTTATCGCATCATGCATGTAAACATATTATGTCAATACTCACTTCAGTGTGTTTACATTTCTTTTGGTAGACATTTATGAACATTGTCAGTGGAACTAATTTTAATACCACCACAATACTGACAAGGACTTTGAGTTAAGGAGGTTTGATTTTATATGAAAATAATGTAGGCAAAACAGGAACACGAGGACCCAGTGTCCTATCGCTGGTATCAATCACTGGATTGTCTGATCCAGACTCGATTATTTTACAGACCGTCGTCATATAGCTGGAATATTGCTGAGTGCGGCGTAAACAACAAACCAACCAACCAACCTATCGCTGGTATTTTTAATTAAATCACGAGTCGCGCAGCGCCGAGTGGTTTAATTAACCATTTCAACGATTAGACACTGGGGTCCGAGTGGCCTAAAATACTTTAACCATGTCGAACATTTATAGCACCTAAAATGTTTAAAAAACATTGTTTTGTTAAAGGTATTTTCATAGATATTCAGGAACTCTATGCTCAGCTGTGAGAACTGTGTGAGTCGGCCGTACGGACATCGCGGGTTCGAATCCCGCTGGCGACAAACGTTTTTCATGAAATGGTTCAATCATCAAGATAAATGATAGAGAAAAAAGAAGTGCCGTCATTGCCGAGAGGTGATTAACTAACAATTCAGTGCGTTAAACCACGGTCAAAGACAAATGAGTCTATGGTTTAACTCCAGTTTGCCTCTTCAGCGGGGAATCGGGAGGTATCAGGTAACTGATTTACCTGTGCACGTTCTAACACGTGCTTCCACATGCAGAGCGACCGTAGTGTGGCAATATCATGACGATTGTCATAATTCACCACATTAGTTTCACCGATTGTGGAAAACGAACATGAGTTGTTCCATTTTCTATTGACTGAGCTAAACAAGCGCTACCGATTTTGGTGAAATATTTCACAAAACACAAAACCATTATAATCATAACATATAAATTTAATCATATCGTCGCCTTTAACCAATCTCCTATGAGGTATCGTTCAAATACTCTCTCAATTGTATTGATTTTGAAATAATGACTGTGGTCAAACCCATGTTTGCCGTAAATGCCAGAAACTTATGATTGTGGGTTCGAATCCCGGTTCATATCGTCGAAGAAATCAAGACAAGTTCCCATTCGGTAATCTATGCCTTTTCGGCTAATTGCGCCATTGTTCAAAAATGTGATTCATTACTGAACATTATGACATTATCTAAATCAGTTATCCCCTGGGTCGTGTCAGTAATGACGGTCTGTGCCCATAGTGGATTAAGGGATTAGGGATTAGGGTAAAGTCTGATTGAACTTTCTTCAGCTGGTCAGAGTGGTGGATTATTACAAATAGGGTAAAATAAATATATTTATAAACATACTTTACATTTTAACTAAAATGATACTATCACAAACATATTAAGTACATATTAGTGTAGGGGCGGTCGAGTAGCCTAGAGGTTAAAGTGTTCGCTCGTCACGCCGAAGACCCGGGTTCGATTCCCGACATGGGTACAATGTGTGAAGCCCATTTCTGGTGTCCCCCGCCGTGATATTGCTGGAATATAGCTAGAAGCGGCGTAAAACCATACTCACTTACTTACATATCAGTGTTGTGGATCGTTATAGAAAACTAAAACAAAAGGTAAAGTATGTATATTCATTATATATACTTAAGCTGACTGTAAACAATTAAACTGTCATAGGATTATATTTTTGCCCACCTTGAGCATGAGCAATGTGTGTTAGCCATGGTAATATGTGGTATTATTGACCCAGGGCGTGTATAAAGCCGACGAAGCATCCTGAAAATATACATAATTATCTTCATCTTGGGGTTTGTGTAAAATGCTAAGGCCGTCTTCGTGTGATACGTTTGTTTGATTTCAACACCGCACTCTATTCATTGTGACCATCCGATCCAATAAGTTGCATCGTACAAGCATCGGTTACTGGGTTGTTTTTTTGTATGCTAAACCTTATATAAAAACATGATCTTCCTTGTCAGTCATACCCTAAGATATAATAACAACATCCATCTTGAAAACGTGAAAACTATGTTCTGTGATGTAATTATAATCGATTGCTTAAGCTGGCAACACCTATTTCACTATTATGTTCATTTTCCCGGAGGCAAGGGAGGTAACTGACTATGAACGTCCAGTTTCCACCTGCACTTTTAAAGTCAGTTAACTCCCTTGCCTCGGGAAGATGTATCATGTTTGACTCTACAAGGAAATGTAAAACGACAACGCCAGATAATAACCAACCTCGATTATCTTTATCCGACAAAAACAGATGCATTTGGGCGCAAAGGGCAAAATAGCTGTGACAGTTATATGAATGGATCACTGAAAATGAGAGATGACGCTGAATTAGATGTCATGTTTGTAACTGATCATATTTCGGTGCCTCAGGGGGCACGGGTGGCTCAGTCGTCTAAGGCGCCGCGATTCGCTGTGCAGAGTTGCGTCCCTTGGGAACGCCAGAAACCTATGATTATGTGTTCGAATCCCGGTTCGCCCCGATTATGTTTCTAGGTTTGTCAGCACCTTGCCCGTGCTCGTGGGTTTTTAACCGAGGTGGTAAACGTCTGACACCTGCATCACATCGGGCTTTCCTCCCACATTAAGCTGACACGCCGCGATATAACTGGAATAATGTTTAAAGCGGCGTTAAACCAACTCACTCACTCGGTGCCTCAAGTTCGTCCCCAAGGTGCGAATAGCATTGTCTATTGCGATCTTTACCTTCATTGACAATCAATAGAACAACAAAATTCATGCATTAGTGTTGTCTGGAATGTGACAGAAGAACGGACAAAACTACTGATGAATGTGTGATTTATATTCATAACGCATGTGCAAAACTGTAAATTAATATATTCTTGCACCTAACGGTACAAAGACAATAATTACCATCTGATTATAAAGCAAAGAAACCTACCACCAAACTACACAACGTACACTGACGGAGCCTATGAATTTGCTCACTGTCATATCAAAATAAGCTCATCCTGTGTGGACAGGTTAGTTTAAGTTGCACCTGAATCACATTTTTATTCATAACGTGTGTGTAAATATGTACGAACACGTAAAATAGCTGGGTCTTGCATCAAACTGTACAAAGAAAATATTTAGCATCTGATCATATAGCATAGAAAGTTATCAATTATACAACGTACACATGTGGTATAACTTGAATTAAACCAGTGAATATTAACAGTAAACAGTACAGTAAATGAAACACTTTTGGACATACATGTATAAGCTTGCGTGGCACCTGCATACAAATCGGCCCCCAATGTTGAGGTGTATGTACTATTTAATCACTTAAGTCGCCCAAAACTATATAAATTAATTCGCACTCAAAATTGCTTGTGTAGGTTACACTCCTTCTCCAAACATTACTCCTTTCATTGGACGTTTTAAATATTATACCACTGTCTTTTAGTATGTCCGCATTACACAGAAAGTATGTTCCGATCTATCACCATGTCCATCCACATAAACGTAAATTCATCTGTCTGTCTGCATAAGTGGTATCTGCGTCCAGTCAGTTACAAGCATGTTGTTACAGCTGTTCACTGGTCATTCATATGAGATTGCTTTGATTATCAGTGGTTTACGTTGAGGAAACAATATTGAAATTGAGTCGATCCTCCCAATGAAAGTTTCGGCCAACATGGCGAATTAATTAAATGGACTTGTCAATTTCATAATTTTTCACGGAATTCTATCAATTGACTAAATTTTGACATTGACTGTAAGATATTTTTGCTCTTGCGGGTACTAAAATGGTCACTCTGTGACGCATTAACCATGAAATAACATGACACATACGACACATACATAAATAACGTTTAAAACTCTTGAATCTACTGATATGGCATATGGAACACGACTGAAAAGCAAAGGAATCGTCGCTGAACATATCTAGTAAAACATAGGAAAGTACATAATAGCTGTGAGTCGCTGAACATATCTAGTAAAACATAGGAAAGTACATAATAGCTGTGAGTTGTTGAACATATCCAGGAAAGCAGTTGTATATACAGCTAACCAACACAAAGTGTATCTGGTGTTTATAGGCATGGTGAGATAGTGAAGAAAGACGATAGGTTACTTTTTAGCATTATTCTAATGTGAGTTTTAGGTAAGAAGGGAGATATTCCAAAAATATGTAATTAATATTTATTTAATTATTTTAACAGAATGGGGAATGTTACGCTTAGGGTATTAGCAGTACTGATTTCGGCTCAGTATCTCCACATAAAACAAATCGTTTTTACCAGACACTATTAACCGTTGGAACCATTTGCCTGATGACGTTCTTAATGCAGAAACTGGTGAATTTAAGAGATTTTAAAAAAAGAATACAAAATACCAATTTGTATTTTTATCTAAATTTTGGAAGTAGATTTTGTCAGACTGTATATTCTCGCCTCAGACTTGGTTGCAGCGATCTTAATGCCCATCGATATGAGACACATTTCTGACAAAGCAGCTTGTACCTGTGGATACATGTATGAAACTGTATCACACTATTTCCTTTCCTGTCCCTATAATGATGTAAGACATGATTCATTCTTCTACCCTGAGAGAGTTGCTCTTAACACTATACTGAATGGTAATGCAAATTTTACAAATACTCCCAATCTAGATATCTTAAAAACAGTACATTCATACATACTTCATTCCAAAAGGTTTAAACTAACGCGAGACTGTAAATCCTGCGTATTAATTATTTGTTCTACTCATTACACCAAACTGTTGTTGACCACTTGCTTTTGTTAACGTATTCACTTTATCATCATGTATTGTTTTGTTTAATGCCTTCATGAATAAATTGTACTGCAGAGGTATTAATATAAGCCTTTTCGCTTGTCTACCGATACAGATTCATTGAATAAAAATATGTTTAAATCGCATATGATAAGGTGTTGCAGCTCAAGGAACACCTGCAACCATTCTGCGCTGAGCGTTGGATTGCATCCTGTGACACATTCACAATGTAGGCAGGGAAAGAGATATTACCCCGAACATGATATTCATCACCTCAAATAGCGCGAAATGAAACATACACTGGTGTCAATAAACAATCTAAACAGGGTGTGTTGACGTACAAACTTCCTCAGAATATGCAAACATTAAATTCTAAAGAATATTGTTCTCATTCCAACTTCCAAACATCAAACAGGAACTGAAGGACAGGCTATTGATGTGATTGTTCTTGGGATATCGGCGTGTATTGTGATCAACTGGATTATGACTAAGGGCCATCCATCTCCATATCCTAACCTAGCCTAACACTCTAAAACCAATCACAATGAATTTTATGGAAACAGATTTTGTCATTATCAGACTACACAGTCTTATAGATTGTGTACTGTATTCACGTGGAGATACGATGTCAATGCAGTAATGCATGGGCCAATTAATTTGATATCGAGTCTAGTCTCTCACGTCAATTGAGTGGGCGAGTTGAGAAAGTTTACACATTACGTCAGTCTCAAAAAGGTATTTTTGTGTTGTTGACAAGATACGTTTTGGAAATCGTGGTGTTTGCACTATCTTGACACAACCCAAGTAAACTAGCTCCGTTCAACAACACACCCTCCTTCAATCTAGAGTCGTGTTGACATGATGATATTGCTCAGACCATCACCAACACGCTCCTGTATCATTGCATCAATATCTATTTCTCTTGGTCCTCTACCATTGCCATCCGCAGCTCTTTCACCCTCATCAAGACTTTCAAGATCATCCTCTTCGTAGACCTCACACTCATATGCTTGGCTATAACTCTCTTCGTCTATGGCATATTTGGGTTGACCAATTCCCTGATATTTCCCTCCACTGTCTCCTACGTAGTCATATCCATTCCCTTCTTTGTGAACTGCGTGCATTTGAGTCTCAGACTCTAGGACATTGCCTTCAGTACGAGGGACAGCAATTTGGCGTACGACTTCCCCTGTTTCACCTTCATTCTCTTGACCTTCTTTATGCATTTCAGAATCAGAACGACCACCCTCTGGTACACTGTCTTCAGTGGACGAAACAGAGTTTTGTCTCACGAGTTCCTTCCTGCCACTTCTATCTTGTTGGCTGTCAGCAGCATTCATTTCAGATCCAGAATGGCCGCCCTCTGGTACACTGTCTTCAGTGGACGAAACAGAGTTTTGTCTCACGAGTTCCTTCCTGCCACTTCTATCTTGTTGGCTGTCAGCAGCATTCATTTCAGATCCAGAATGGCCGCCCTCTGGTACACTGTCTTCAGTGGACGAAACAGAGTTTTGTCTCACGAGTTCCTTCCTGCCACTTCTATCTTGTTGGCTGTCAGCAGCTTTCATTTCAGATCCAGAATGGCCGCCCTCTGGTACATTGTCTTCAGTGGAAGAAGCGGAGTTTGGTCTCACAACTTCATTCATGGCACCTATTTCTTGTTGGCTGTCTTCTTTCATTTCAGATTGGGAATGGCCATCCTCTAACATACTTTCTTCAGAAAACGAGTTTTGTCTCACAAGTTGATTAGTGCCACCCATTTCTTGTTTATTGTCTGACTTCAATTCAGGCTCTGGAACAGTATTTTCAGCACAAGGAACAGGGGAAAGGACATTTTGTGGATCGAGTTCCTTAGTGTTACCAACACGCACCTCTTGTTGTCCGCCTTCAACCTTATCTCCGGGCTTGGCAACGTCGGTGATTCCTCTAATGGATATGCTCGAGACCGTCGATGACGATCTGTCCAGGAGACCTGATTTGCCAAAGGTACTCATTTGTCTGTTAGTCTCCCCAGAATCCTGCTGGTTGTTGCTCCTCAGTTTGGTCATCTCCAAGAGTTCACGATGTATGGAAATCCTCACATTATTTGCATCATTGCCGCCCGACTTCCCTGTAGTATCGGAGAAATCGATCTTCTTGCCAGACTGAGCAGCGTCGCCAACCTTAGCGTTTGTGCGGTGTTCCACGCCATTTTGCACCGTGGTATTTTCTGAAAGATAAGTTCAGTGTATCGGTCAAGGTTTACGTTTAAAGCGATCACATTTACCGTAAAGCAAGTTGGAACATAACTTGACCAGACAACATGATACAAGCATTTCTTTAGTAAGAACGGAGAACTTGATGCCTCAAAGACCAATATTAAATTAGGTTCGTGGCATTGAGGACATTTTGAAAGAGCATTTGATTAAATTCATGGAGTCAATACCATGATTGTTGATTTCTTTTTTTTTGCAGTATCTGTAATTTTAACTGTAGTGATTTTGACTTGAGATTTATTTTATTTATGCCTACATTGGTTTTATATTGATGCACTTTCGCTGAGGATGCCCAGCTGGGTCAGTGTTGTCAAGGTACACCACCAACTATATAGAGTTGTGTCCCTTTATATGTAAGAATTCACTAAATTGCTCCAATCACGATCGTTGTTTCGTTAGCACAATACCCATGCACATGTTATACACTCATGTGTGTGTTTACGTCAAAAGCCTGGAGTCTCCTCTGACATAAGGAGGAAGTGCCGTGTTATAACTGAAATAATGTTAACAACAGGCTGGCACCTTACTCACTTTCTGGAGATGGTACCGTTCAAGCGTATACCTTTGTGAATCTGTATGGCTTCCAAGTCACCGTCAGAGCTGTTGTTATCAGAGGCATCCAATGTAGCCATTTCCAGTGGTTTCGATTGCTTATCTATAGCAATAATAAGCTCACTAACATCGGATTCCTGAAGACTAGTCTTTTTCTTCTTTTTCTTCTTTTTCTTCTTTTTGTCTCTCATAGTCATGGCGTTTTCTTCAATAGATGCAGACTGTTTCTTCCTTGGCCGCAGAAAACATCTAAAAAACAACGGAAACTCCTTATTTAAAAAAAACAAAAACGAAATATGTTAACATGTCTTTACTGCCACATTGCAGGTGACTAAGCCTTAATAACGTAATTACAAACACCACTCCTTGAGATTCCAGGATTGACAACATTTCAAGCTAAGCTCTAATTCAAAATTTATTCAATTAGCTGTGCAGAGTTGCGTCCTTGTACACGCCATAAACCTATGATTGTGGGCTCGATCCCGGTCCGTTTATGTTTCAAGGTTTGTCAGCGCCATACCCGTGTTCGTAGGTTTCACCAAAGTGAAACGTCTGAAACCCGTGTTCGTAGGTTTAACCAAAGTGAAACGTCTGAAACCCGTGTTCGTAGGTTTAACCAAAGTGAAACGTCTGAAACCCGTGTTCGTAGGTTTCACCAAAGTGAAACGTCTGAAACCCGCGTCACTTCGAGCTTTCCTCCAAAGTAAAAGGCGCGTTAAAACTCAACCCACTCACTCACTCTTACGACGAACAACTGGTTGATAGGGAGATAGTGTACTCACAAGTGTATACATATTGTAGTAAGTGTTATGAATGTCAGCACCCCAGCGACGATGGCAACAGAGATAACGACTGTAGCCAAGGTTGTGTCAGTAGAACCTGCAAAATACACAACAAACAACAGAATCAGTCCACTGTGTAAATGATGTTATCATACCTCCATGTCAGAATGATGAGATCTGATTGGTCTACTAGATAAACACTATGCATCCCGCCTTGGAGGGGGAAAAAAATTCTCACCGGGAGAATAAATCCCCTATACCCCGCCACGAGCAAGTCAGGTTGCACGTGGATTTCTGAGAGGCAGAATAAATCCCTTATACCCCGCTTCGAAGCAAAACGCCTCACGCTTTCTCCGAGTCAATGAAAGTCACGTGATTGTTTTCTATCAATTTTGAATTTGTTTTAATTCTTTTATATTATCACATTAAAACATGTAGGTTAGATAAATTCTTTGTAGCAGGATCACTCGGGGTACATGGGGCCTCAGGCGCGTGGTATAAATCTTAATGCGGGACCCTTAAAACCCCATGTACCCCTCGTCATCCTGCTACAACCTTATAATATACACAAGAGGGAAATAGACATGGATGGGCAATCATAGCTATGGTTAAACTAGCATTTTCATCTAACGCCAAACACTTCGGGAATATATGTACTTGATAAACATCACTTATATAGAGAGACATTGTTGAGGCCTTCTCTTAGTCACCTTCTGGAGGGGGCAAGAGTGGCCTGCTGTGCAGAGTTGCGTCCCTTGGGCACGCATGAAACCCATGATTGTGGGTTCGAATCCCGCTTCGCCCCGATTATGTTTCTAGGTTTGTAAACACCATACCCTTACTCGTGGGTTTCACCGAAGTGGTAAACGTCTGAGACCTGCATCACTTCGGGCTTCCCTCCCACATTAAGCTGACACGCCGTGATGTAACTTGAAAAGTGTTAAAAGCGGCGTTAAACCCAAATCACCGACTCAATCACCTTCTGGTGGCATTCAGTGACATATTACATTGCATAAAATACCAAGAGTTGAGAAAATGTATTAAAGTAATTAACTAATCAACCATTTGAAAACATATTCACCAACACATTAAACTCTTATTATGTGATATTTTGTTGCGGACATTTTTGTCAATGTGCGATAATTGTATTTACAAATATGATTGTACCAGACCAGGGTAGGTGTCCAGTAGACACATAAAAACATAAGTAATTTGCATACAGATAAATAAAACATTGGCTGCATTGAAATAGTAAAAGCTGTAATGTGGATAGACGCATTATTATTTGATTCATAGTTTTCATGGTATTCGTGAATCATGTCAAGAGTACACAACTCAAGTCGATGTCAGCTTAGCCGACTGTAGTTGGGTACCAAATGATTACTTTTTCTTTTTTTTAAACTATCTATGAACATGCCTTTGTAGAGTGAGTGAGTGAGTGAGTTGGGTTTAACGCCGCTTTTAACAGTATTCCAGTTATATCGCGGCGTGTCAGCTTAATGTGGGAGGAAAGCCCGAAGTGACGCAGGTCTCAGACGTTTACCACTTCGGTAAAACCCACGAGCACGGGTATGGTGCTGACAAACCTAGAAACATAATCGGGGCGAACCGGGATTCGAACCCACAATCATAGGTTTCTGGCGTGCCCAAGGGACACAACTCTGCACAGCGAATCGCGGCGCCTTAGACGACTGGGCCACCCGTGTAGAGCATTGCTCTAGAGTATAAATTTAATCTAGACCAGCTAGCACTGCCATACATAGAAACAATCGACTAGTGCTTTAACAATGATGTACAACTTTGCTGTATTAGCATATTAATGGTATGATGGCTTATAAATATCAATATTAGGACAGTGGGAATCTGTTTGAAACGGATTGAATTGATATAAATATATTGATATTTCGATACTTATCTGGTTCTCCTTGACATTAACAAGACATGACTGAACAAAACAATGCAGTTGCTTGAAAAAAGATGATTCCTTAGTAGTGAGTGAGTGAGTATGGTTTTACGCCGCTTCTAGCAATATTCCAGCAATATCACGGCGGGGGACACCAGAAATCGGCTTCACACATTGTACCCATGTCGGGTATCGAACCCGGGTCTTCGGCGTGACGAGCGAACGCTTTAACCACGAGGCTACCCGACCGCCCCGATACCTTGGTCAACATTCACAACTTTAGGATCGCTGGTATACTACCAATCTCCTTAAAATCAGACCTTAGTTCTCGCTACCGCTAAACAGAGAAACCAGCGGTGAACAAACAAGAAGCTTCTCGTCAAAATGATCATCTGTTTCGCGCTTCAATGGGATAAACATCTGAAACGGATAAGAGACTTTCCATTTTCCGTGGGAAGTACTGCCATGCAATCTCGGCCATCTATAAGACACTCCAGAATATTCTTTTGTTCGGTTTTCAGATTTGGAATCTCGAACCTAGTCAAAATAGTTTCCAAAGCGTTGTCCGGTATGGAAGTCGCCATATTGAAACCAGTGCCATAAAACTAGAGAACGCTGCTTCCTGATTGGCTCATTTCGACTTCCTGTTGGATATTTGATTGGTCGGTCGAAGTTCGCGAAAGGTCACTCTGACATGACCCGTAATGGGATGTCCTCAGATCTTTGTTTAGCGGTAGCGAGAACTAAGGTCTGATTTTAATGAGATTGGTATACTACAAACCATTAACGTAAAGATATATAAGATTCGAACGAATTATTTCGAAATTTGTAAAAGAAAACTCTCGCACGAAAGGAAGCTATAGTAAACTATTGTTGATGATTAATGTCAGAATTTTAAGAAAGACCCCGATCCATGATCTCATGCCAACTTCCAAAGTTGATGCATGCGATGCGTTTGTGCCGTTAATGTCAATAACAGTCATAAACAGCTGGACATGACATACACCACAAATGTGATTAAGAAGACAAAGAATATAATGTGGGTTTGTTGGATTAAATCGAAACTTGCTTGGGTGCCATTTTCCGTCGTAATCCATGCTCCCTAATATGTATCTGTTTGTCGTTTAACGCCGCACTCAGCAATATTCCAGCTATATGACGACAGTCTGTAAATAATCGAGTCTGGACCAGACAATCCAGTGATTGACATCATGAGAATCGATCCACGCAATTGGGATCGATGACATGCTTTAACCAAGTCAGCGAGCCTGACCACCCGATCCCGTTAGTCGCCTCTTACGACAAGCATAGTCACCTTTTACGGAAGCATTGGTTGCTGAAGACCTATTCTACCCCGGGTCTTCACGGGTAAGCTCCCTATTGTTAATGAAAGTTAGAGTTGTATACCGGGACATGTTACCTTGTGTTGTGCTGCGTGCAGCTTGTGTGGAAACTACACTAGCTGTAGTTACTGCTGTTTCTCCTGGTGTCATGGGACTTGGCTGGGATTGGGATGAGGACCTCGGAGCTGTTGTAGCTGTGGCAGTGGTTGTCGTCAGTTTGGGTGACGATGAAGTTGGTGGTACTGATCTATCACTATTGCTAGTTGAATCGGACGACATGGTAAATGTGCTTCCGTAATCAGATGAACTCGTTGTATCGTTTGAAGTCCCAGGTGGTCCAGCTGTCGCTGATGGACTCGCTGTAAGGTTCGAGGACTCAGTCGATAATGACATCCCATCTGTACCAGAAGTTTCAGATGTTTCGGGTTGCGTCGGCGATGTTCCAGGAGATGATGTTTCAGGTGAGTCAGATGATGTAGTCGTGTTAGCTGTTGTTTCTGATAACCCAGAAGATGCGGGTGTTGCTGATGACCCGGGGGATGGTGACATTGCTGATGATCCAGGAGCTGTTGACGTTGCTGATGATTCGGAAGGTGTTGAGGTCACTGATGATCCAGGAGAAGCTGGTGTTTCTGATGAACCAGGAACTGTTGATGCTTCAATAGATATTGATTGGTTTAATGAGTTTTGCGAGAATAAGTTAGATGTCCCAACTGAAGAATCCTGTGATGTTGGCACTTCCGCCGTGCTCCCAGTCGGCTGCTGACTTGTGACCATGGCTGTTAAGAGACACGATGAGAATATAAGTTTATGTATTGGAGAGTGAGTTACTTAACCATCTAACTATACCGTCCCATACTAACCTACATCTCTACAACTCCGTTACGTAACCGTCACACTAACCTACAGCTCTACCATTTCACTACTCCATTACATTACTCCAATACTTTCACACAACCCCACTACTCTACCATAATACTATCCCACAGGTCTGCCATCCAACTACTCCACTGCTCTACCATAATACTACCCCACTACTCTAAAATCCCAATACTCCATCTCTCTACCATAATACCTACCCACTGCTCTACTTTCCCACTACCCCACTAGTCTAACATAATACTATCCCACAGCACTGCTATACCACTACTTCACAGCTCTAAAATACCACTACTTCACCGCTCTACTATAATACTTTCCCACTGCTCACTGGTCGACTTTCCCACTACCTCACTGACCTACCATCACACTACCCAACTGATCTACCATAACACTATCCCACTGCTCTACCATAATACTATTCTACTTCGCTACCATAATACTATCCCACTGCGCTACCATAATACTATCCCTCAGCTCTACTATCCCACCTCTCCACTGCGCTACCATAAAACTATCCCACAGCTCTAAACTCCCACTACTCCACTAGTCTAACATAATACTATCCCACAGCACTGCTATACCACTACTTCACAGCTCTAAAATACCACTACTTCACCGCTCTACTAAAATACTTTCCCACTGCTCACTGGTCGACTTTCCCACTACCTCACTGACCTACCATCACACTACCCAACTGATCTACCATAACACTATCCCACTGCTCTACCATAATACTATTCTACTTCGCTACCATAATACTATCCCACTGCGCTACCATAATACTATCCCCCAGCTCTACTATCCCACCTCTCCACTGCTCTACCATAAAACTATCCCACAGCTCTAAACTCCCACTATCCCACTGCTCTATTATCCCACTTCTTCACAGCTCTACTATCCCACTACCAAGTTGCTCTACCATAATACTATCCCACAGATCTGCCATCCCAATACTCCACTGCTCTACAATAATACTACATCACTACTCTAAAATTCCATGACTCAATCGCTCTACCATAATACCCTCACACTGATCTACTTTCCCACTATCAAACTAGTCTACCATAATACTATCCCACAGCTCTGCTATCCCACTACCCCACTGATCTACCATCACACTACCATACTGATCTACCATCACACTACCCTACTGATCTACCATCACACTAGCCTATTGATCTACCATCAGACTACCTTACTGATCTACTATCACACTAACTTACTGATCTGCCATCACACTATCCCACTGATCTACCCTCACACTACCCTACAGATCTACCATCACACTATCCAACTGATCTACTTCCACTACCCGACTGCTCTTCCAGAATACTATCCTAAAGCTCTGCTATCCCACCTCTCCACTGATCTATCATAAAACTTTCCCACAGCTCTAAACTATCACTATCCCACTGCTCTACTATCCCACTTCTTCGCAGCTCAACTATCCCACTACCCAAATGCTCCACCATAATATTACCCACTGCCCTAACATCCTAATACTTCACTGATCTACCATCAGACTACCCTACTGATCTACCATCAGACTACCCTACTGATCTATCATCGCATTACCCTACTGATCTACCATCAGACTACCCTACTGATCTACCATCAGACTACCCTACTGATCTACCATCACATTACCCTACTAATCTACCATCACATTACCCTACTGATCTACCATCACACTACCCAACTGATCTACCATCACATTACCCAACTGATATACCATCACATTATCCTACTAATCTACCATCGCACTCCCCTACTGATCTACCATCACATTACCCAACTGATCTACCATCAGACTACCCTACTGATCTACCATCACATTACCCAACTGATATACCATCACACTACCCTACTGATCTACCATCAGACTACCCTACTGATCTACCATCAGACTACCCTACTGATCTACCATCACATTACCCTACTGATCTACCATCACATTACCCTACTGATCTACCATCACACTACCGTACTGATCTACCATCGCACTCCCCTACTGATCTACCATCACATTACCCTACTGATCTACCATCAGACTACCCTACTGATCTACCATCACATTACCCAACTGATCTACCATCACACTACCCTACTGATCTACCATCGCACTCCCCTACTGATCTACCATCACACTACCCAACTGATCTACCATCACACTACCCTAATGATCTACCATCACACTACCCTACTGATCTACCATCGCATTACCCTACTGATCTACCATCAGACTACCCTACTGATCTACCATCACATTACCCAACTGATCTACCATCACATTACCCAACTGATCTACCATCGCACTCCCCTACTGATCTACCATCACACTACCCAACTGATCTACCATCACACTACCGTACAGATCTACCATCGCACTCCCCTACTGATCTACCATCGCACTCCCCTACTGATCTACCATCGGACTCCCCTACTGATCTACCACCAGACTACCCTACTGATCTGCCATGACATTACGCAACTGATCTACCATCACACTACCCTACTGATCAACCATCACACTACCCAACTGATCTACCATCGCATTACCCTACTGATCTACCACCACACTACCCTACTGATCTACCATCGAACTCCCCTACTGATCTACCATCACATTACCCTACTGATCTGCCATCACATTACGCAACTGATCTACCATCACACTACCCTACTGATCAACCATCACACTACCCAACTGATCTACCTTCGCATTACCAAACTGAACTACCATCACATTACCAACTGATCTACCATCCCACTACCCTACTGATCTACCATCCAACTACCCAACTGATCTACCATCACACTACCCTACTGATCTACCATCACACTACCCTACTGATCTACCATCGCACTCCCCTACTGATCTACCATCAGACTACCCTACTGATCTACCATCACATTACCCAACTGATCTACCATCACACTACCCTACTGATCTGCCATCGCACTCCCTTACTGATCTACCATCACACTACCCAACTGATCTACCATCACACTACCTTACTGATCTACCATCGCACTCCCCTACTGATCTACCATCGCACTCCCCTACTGATCTACCATCGGACTCCCCTACTGATCTACCACCACACTACCCAACTGATCTACCATCACACTACCCAACTGATCTACCATCACACTACCCTACATATCTCCCACCACACTACCCAACTGATCTACTATCACACTACCTTACTGATCTACCATCGCACTCCCCTACTGATCTACCATCGCACTCCCCTACTGATCTACCATCGGACTCCCCTACTGATCTACCACCACACTACCCAACTGATCTACCATCACACTACCCAACTGATCTACCATCACACTACCCTACATATCTCCCACCACACTACCCAACTGATCTACTATCACACTACCTTACTGATCTACCATCACACTTCCCTTCCGATCTAAAACCACACTACCCTACTGACGTACTATCACACTACCCTACTGATCTACTATCACACTACCCTACAAATCTACCATCACACTTCCCCATTACCTCAACATGGAAGCCAGGCCACTGTCCGATTGCTGTAACATCCTACTCTGCAACCATCCTGCTATCCTCCCATTCTACCCCCTCACTACCTCATTACCTAACAACCCCACTAGGCTCCGACCCCACCATCCAACCGCCCCACCTCCCCACCACCCAAACATCCTTCCACCCTACCGCCCACCAGCCAACCACCCCAATATCCACTCATGCCACTGCTCTATCTTCATACCACCCTATCGCCCTCTACCCTACGCCATCCTACCCCACCACCAACCTACATCCCAGCCAGAAAAAAACAAGGATACATGACTAGGCCTACCAAAAGCGGAAGATGTATGTGAGTGTCTATGGCGAAGAAAAATCAAACACAAATAATATCTCACCTTCAATGCCGCTGTACACACATACACTATACAGAAACACAAGTACATTGCGTGTGGAAGGCATACTGGTGAGTCCAGGCAGTTCAAGTCTCACGCTAACTTGGCTGGTTTGCCGAATGTCTCATCGGCCAAACTTAAAATCACTATTTCGTGGTTATTTTCTATGTATTAGGCGCTATACAACATGGCTATATCAATTGCTCGCTGCTATCATTTTCCTCAATAAATCAGGCGTATATAACTTCCGCGGTAACAACATCACAGTGGTGTGGCTTTATGTATTGTTGCCTGTACACATTCATAAGCTGGCGTTGTTTACTTCATACAGATAAATATATTCAAACTGGTTGACACGCCTTTAGGAACATGTAGCTATGCATCACACAGTTTCGGGAAATTGCATTTTCCTCAGATTATCAGTAGTCATGCAAATACGCTTGTAGTTTAAACAACGATTCCTCAGTGAGAGCGTAACGCTATCAATTTTATCGGAATTAGACACAGTATAACATTATTACCTCTGGGGGCACGGGGGACCAGTCCCTGTGGTGAGTTACGTCCCTTGGGCACGCCAGAAACCTATGAATGTGGGTTCGCATCCCGGTTCTCCCCGAGGTTTGTCAGCACCATGCCCGTGCTCGTGGGTTTCACTGATGTGGTAAACGTCTTAGACCTGCATCACATCGGGTTTTCCTCCCACATTAAGCTGACACGCCGCGATATAAATGTAACACTGTTAAAAACGGCGTTAAACCCAACTCACTCACTGACATTATAACCTCGATACCTAGGGACCATAACAATATATCGAGTTGTTCGAGACACACGGATTGGCACTATTAAAAATGTTCATGTCGGGACTTATATGGTTAAATCACCTTGTGTGATGTGTCGACTTAATGAAGTTCAAGTTAACATGGCTTTACTGCAGTTCAATATATTCTGTTTTGGCTTAGCATCGATAATGTCGGGTTATAACAAGGTTGGCGCCAATACAACATACAGTCATATTGCAGCGATAATCACTCAAGTACAACATGCCTAAAAATAAGATGGCATTATAGTGGGTTATAGTAGTTAACACGTCTAAAGTAAGTGGCATTATAGAAGGTAAGAGCAGTTAAGACATCTAAAGTAGTTAACACATATAAAGTAAGTGGCATTATAACCTGTTAGAGCAGTTAACACATATGAAGTAAGTGGCATTATAGCAGGGTAGAGTAGCTAACTCGTCCAATGTTAGTGGCATTTTAACAGGTTTGAGTAGTTAAAACGTCTAACGTGAGTGGCATCATAGCAGGTTAGAGTAGTTAACTCGTCTGAAGTAGGTGGCATTATAGCCGGTTAGAGCGCTTAACACGTCTGAAGTAAGTGGCATTATAGCCGGTTAGAGCAGTTCACACGTCTAAAGTAAGTGGCATTATAGCCGGTTAGAGCAGCTAACACGTCTAAAGTAAGTGGCATTATAGCTGGTTAGAGCAGCTAACACGTCTAAAGTAAGTGACATTATAGCCGGTTAGAGCAGTTAACTCGTCTTAAGTAAGTGGCATTATAGCCGGTTAGAGCAGCTAACACGTCTAAAGTAAGTGGCATTATAGCCGGTTAGAGCAGTTAACACGTCTTAAGTAAGTGGCATTATAGCCGGTTAGAGCAGCTAACACGTCTAAAGTAAGTGGCATTATAGCCGGTTAGAGCAGCTAACACGTCTTAAGTAAGTGGCATTATAGCCGGTTAGAGCAGTTAACACGTCTTAAGTAACTGACATTATTGCCGGTTAGAGCAGCTAACACGTCTAAAGTAAGTGGCATTATAGCCGGTTAGAGCAGCTAACTCGTCTAAAGTAAGTGGCATTATAGCCGGTTAGAGTACCTAACACGTCTAAAGTAAGTGGCATTATAGCCGGTTAGAGCAGCTAACTCGTCTAAAGTAAGTGGCATTATAGCCGGTTAGAGTAGCTAACACGTCTAAAGTAAGTGGCATTATAGCCGGTTATAGGGCTTAACACGTCTTAAGTAAGTGGCATTATAGCCGGTTAGAGCAGCTAACACGTCTAAAGTAAGTGGCATTATAGTCGGTTAGAGCAGGTAACGCGTCTAAAGTAAGTGGCATTATAGCTGGTTAGAGCAGCTAACACGTCTAAAGTAAGTGACATTATAGCCGGTTAGAGCAGTTAACTCGTCTTAAGTAAGTGGCATTATAGCCGGTTAGAGCAGCTAACACGTCTAAAGTAAGTGGCATTATAGCCGGTTAGAGCAGCTAACACGTCTTAAGTAAGTGGCATTATAGCCGGTTAGAGCAGTTAACTCGTCTAAAGTAAGTGACATTATAGCCGGTTAGAGCAGCTAACACGTCTAAAGTAAGTGGCATTATAGCCGGTTAGAGCAGCTAACACGTCTAAAGTAAGTGACATTATAGCCGGTTAGAGCAGTTAACTCGTCTTAAGTAAGTGGCATTATAGCCGGTTAGAGCAGCTAACACGTCTAAAGTAAGTGGCATTATAGCCGGTTAGAGCAGCTAACACGTCTTAAGTAAGTGGCATTATAGCCGGTTAGAGCAGCTAACACGTCTAAAGTAAGTAGCATTATAGCCGGTTAGAGCAGCTAACACGTCTAAAGTAAGTGGCATTATAGCCGGTTAGAGCAGTTAACACGTCTAAAGTAAGTGGCATTATAGTCGGTTAGAGTAGCTAACACGTCTAAAGTAAGTGGCATTATAGTCGGTTAGAGGAATTAACTCGTCAAAGTGGTATTATAGCCGGTAAAAGTAGTTAAAACATACAATGTAAGTGGCTTGTAGACACAATGTAACGAAAGAAAAGCTACGGAGATACATAATAAACCCCGTCTATAAGTCAGTGTGGACTCGAATTTCATTCTCTGCTCCCTTGGGAGTATACAACCTAGGCTGCCATATGAGGCGCTAGGAGGTTTACAGTCACATTATATAGCCATCTAACACCTTACACAAAGTGTACATAGAGTATATCAGATGAAGTGACGTGGAAGCGTCATCGTCATTTTTTTAAATGTATGAATAACGATAGACACTAGCCACGTTTCCACTAAATGTAAGGCTACTAGGTATAAGCAAATTCGTTCCTCCAACGATACACATTTATGAGGAAAACTTGTTATTTGTCGTGTTCTGCAGGGCATACTCATGTCGGCAATGGGTTACACTTTTCCTTGTTGTCGGTAGTTATTTTTACTCACACTATAACCAACACTGTTTACATGATATACACAACCGGAATATACGGCGCCAGGCACGTATGAAACACGGGTGTCGTGTTAACTTCATCATATCTGACCAGAATCCTGGTAGTGATTTATGTCCAAATAAACAACATATTTCACTGATAATTTGAATCTGAATTTTGCCGATGTCGCAAAGTAATGTTGAAAGTCATAACAATACACGTGCTGTGCGAATGTATCAACTAAACATGTTCAGCTACGTAATAGTATTCAGATAACGAAATCGTTTTCATTTTAAAAAATACAATTTGTCAGTGCGATATTACGTCACAGGTGCTTCCATTCGGAGTTGACGTCATGCAGGTGCCATGATAACGACCCTGTGTGCATAGACGACCACGTGACACACGTGACATACATCGTGACATTATCACATAACTTGGAGGCCCGGGTGGCCCGGTCGTCTAAGGCGCCGCGATTCGCTGTGCAGAGTTGCGTACCTTGGGCACGCCAGGAACCTATGATTGTGAGTTCGAATCCCGGTTCGACCCGATTATTTTGCTAGGTTTGTCAACTCCATACCTGTGTTAGTGGGTTTCACCAAAGTTGTAAACGACTGATACCTGCATCACTTCAGGCTTTCCTCACACATTAAGCTGACACGCCGTGATATAACTGGAATAATGTTCAAAGCAGTGTTAAAACCAACTCACTCACTAAATAACATATTTTAAAATGATTCCAAAACGCATATTAATAAACATACAGATCTTCATAGTTGCAGTACTGGCTAGAAAAAAATAAATCGATATTTTAACAGTTTTTTTATGCTGCATGAAAAATGAGATGTCCTGACAACAACGTAATTCTAGTGACGAGTGCAGTTACATACAAAGAGCACATCCAAAGGTATTATACCCACGCAGAATAATGACGTGTTATGGGACTTTAACTTGCACTTTCACAATACAGATTTCGTTCCGCTTCGAGCTTTCCTCCTACATCAAGCTAACACGCCGTGATACAACTGGCATACTGTTCAAAGCGGCGTTAACCTAATCTCATTCACTCACTCACTAACTCATTCTACTACTATCGGTTATATTTTGGCCATGTAACTCATGATTCCATCAGCATTCGATCTGATTTTGTTTCCCGTAGGGCGCGAACTCAAATAGACCGGGGCGGTGGGGTAGCCTAGTGGTGAAAGAGTTCGCTCGTGGCGCCGAGCACCCAGGTTCGAATCCCCTCGTGGGCACAATGTGTGAAGTCCGTTTCTGGTGTCCCCAGAAGAGATATTGCTGGAATATTGCTAAAAGCAGAATTACTTACTTACTAACTCACTCAAATTAAACATCTAAATGAATGATTTGAAACTACTATATGATTTGATTTGATTTACTACTCATGTGTAAACAACTAATTTTGTCACACTGCCAGTTCAATTACCCTCCAATGTACCGATGCTTGTCAGCATTATGTACAAGTTGTCAGAATTGTGTACAAGTTAATGTACAGACAGGAATCAGAACAACCATCTAACCTTTATCTCGAGGCCTAGAGCGTCCGCCGGGGTTCGATCCCGGACCGCGTCATACCAAAAGACGTTAATAGAAGGTACGTGTTGTTACCCTGTCTAGTGCTCGGCACTAAGGGGCTAAAACAAGGACTGGTCGGCTCGGAGTCAGTATACTGTGAGTGGGGCATCCATGCTAAATTGCGGCATGGTATCTCAGTGTGCAAGCACTATAAATCGCCATCAGTCCGGACTAGTACAAGCAGCCACACACACACACACACACACACACACACAATATCTTATACGCGACGTTAAACCCTTTTTTACCTCACCTCACCTTATCTCGGTGTTTAGTGCAGAGGAGGCTACAACTCTTACATATAAATAACTTTTATCATCTGAGGTTAATATTATGAAAATTGCTTCTTCTGATATTGTTTGGCTTAACAACCTTAACAATAAGGTTAGATTCACAGCCTGAGTGAATCTGGGGTTCAAGTTTCGTTCATAATGTTAAGCAGAATAGTTTGCACATATATTTTATATTTTAGCTCACCTGAAAGTAAGATTATGTCGGTGTGCGATGTCCTCCGTCTGTCCGGTTGTCCGTCTGTCGTTTAACGTTTACAATTTCGGTATTTCCACTAAAATAGAAGGACTGACACTTGGCATGAATGACCCAATGTGTCTCTAAAAGATGCTCATAGACTTCCAATCATATCATAAACATGACGACCCGTGAAGATTCCGGGGTAGAATAGGTCTTCAGCAACACATGCTTGCCGCAAAAGGTGACTCTGCTTGTCGTAAAAGGCGACTAACGGGATCGGGTGGTCAGGCTCGCTGACTTGGTTAATGCATGTCATCGATCCCAATTGCGTGGATCGATGCTCATGATATTAATCACTGGATTGTCTGGTCCAGACTCGATTATTTACAGACCGCCGTCATATAGCTGGAATATTGCTGAGTGCGGCGTTAAACAACAAACAAACATAAACATGGCCGCAAGGGCAGCCATGTTGAAAATTGCTCAGCTATTTCGTCATGTATCGTCCGTGCATATTAAGTAATTAGTGACATGCTCAACAATGACGTAAGTTCTATGGTGCTGTGTGTTATGATATTCGACACAGCATGAGCCTTTTTCATGTCGATTTACCGCTATGGCAGCCAGAAGAACATTCATCACGGGCTTGTACGTCTGGCCAGCTGTGTGTATGTTATCCTGTTATTCAATGACCAGGATGTAATGGTGCCTGTTTTGTAGATACGTTATTGTTTATTTTGGCTTATTTTTCTTTATCCTTGTATGGCCCCTTTCTGATCTAATATTATATTCCACAATAGATCAGGTGAGCCTTTTTAATTTTATTAACAGCATATGCACAATATACCGGAAGCAATGTATCATATCTGTTATCAAGCTTTATATTATTTTCCTTGTTTCCTCGGAAAAGGAAACAACCTTTAGTACATATCGTTTTAAATTTTATTCTGCCTTTCTATGTTAGTAATACGTTAAAGTACAATGAATCAACAGTTCAGATATCCAGAAATCCCTCCTGCTCGAAGATGAAAATGTTACTTATGAATTTATGAAATTAATCACTTATCCGTTAATGCATTTTCCAAATCTAGTCGGTCGATTCTGTTTGTCCCTTTCGACAAATAGTACATGAACGGTCTTGGTATTCTGCTGTGATCTAAGATTCATTGGTTGTCCAGAAATACGGTTATCTTCATATGTTATTGTATAAGTACTGTCTGGACCATGACACTTAAAGGATGCTGAATGAGTGTATGTTCGATTGGAAGAATAATTCATCCTAAGTAAAGGCATTTATGTTTATCTTCTAAATAATTTTTAACATTTATCCCTATTGGCAATGTTTCGCACTTCATGGCATTCGTGTTGTTTGCTGTTGCTATATCTTATTGTCTGGTGGCACGGGTGGCCCAGTCGTCTAAGGCGCCGCGATTCGCTGTGCAGAGTTGCGTGCCCTGGGGACGCCAGGAACCTATGATTGTGGGTTCCAACCCCGGTTCGACCCGATTATGATTCTAGGTTTGTCAGCACCATACCCGTGCTCGTGGGTTTCACCGAAGTGGTAAACGTCTGACACCTGCATCACTTCGGGCTTTCCTCCCACATTAAGCTGACACGCCGTGATATAACTTGAATACTGTTAAAAGCGGCGTTAAACCAAACTCACTCACTCACACTTTTTATCTATCTCTTGTAGAAGTCCCAATCATGATATCCCAGTTCAATAGAACATTAATACCTCAAGCATATATGGATCCTCAATAAATGTTAGATTTTGTTTGGATTGAAACTACCCTCACTGTGTTGCAAAACGAACATATTTCTCAAATGTTTTTCCTTTACATGAAGGCAGCATTGTTCCTGCACTTGTACGCAACAGACTTGATTCAAAATTAACATATCGTTTCAACAAAACCAGTAAATGTGGTATCATGTGATTACATGACACCGTTGTATGGTAGGAGTACTGCTGTCAGGCAACAAACACATACACATTTTTGTGCAAATTGTGTGAGTGGAGGGTTCTGCCGGTTGGGCAGGACATGCTTAGCCTTTTTGCGTAGGGTTCATTGCAACTTTACCTTTTACGCCCAATGGAATCGGTTTCGTGGGAAAATATAGACTGGTTAAACTATGGGGTTGCCGTCTTATATTTACGATATTCCTCACGGACATTGATCGGTTCTAAAAGTCTCGGGGGGCATGGGCGGCCCTGTCGTCTAAGGCGCCGCGACTCGCTGTGCAGAGTTGTGTCTCTTGGGCACGCCAGAAACCTATGATTGTGGGTTCCAGTCCCGGTTCGACCCGATTATGTTTCTAGGTTTGTCAGCACCATACCCGTGCTCGTGGGTTTCACCGAAGTGGTAAACGTCTGGGACCTGCATCACTTCGAGCGTTCCTCCCACATTAAGCTGACACGCCGTGATATAACTGGAATACTGTTAAAAGCGCCGTTAAACCCCTCACTCACTCACTCACTCACTCACTCACTCACTCACTCACTCACTCACTCACTCACTCACTCACTCACTCACTCACTCACTCACTCACTCACTCACTCACTCACTCACTCACTCACTCTAAAAGTCTCGACCATTGACTTACCTGTTTGAAACTGAACTACCACTTAAAGATCGCTGGAATATGGTTACCATTGCGAAATATATACACAAATGAAGCCACGGACTTATATTGTAAATAAAAACAGCCATGCATAAGTCAATGTACTTTATTTACTGTACAGATCTATCATAAACAAACACAACACTTGTATGTACACAGATGGTAACATATAAACAATATCGTGTGGCCTATAACTATTATGCTGACATAGCATAAATCAAAGAATTTATTAGTGAGTGAGTGAGTGAGTGAGTGAGTATGGTTTTATGCTGCTTTTAGCAATATTCCAGCAATATCACGGCGGGGGACACCAGGAATGGGCTTCACACATTTTACCCATGTCGGGAATCGAACCCAGGTCTTCGGCGTGACGAGCGAACGCTTTAACCACTAGGCTACCCGACCGCCCCTATTAGTGTACATATGATACAGTGTGTACGTTTAATATAAAATTTTACTAAACTACGCTTGTACAAATATAAACAATGCACGACAATCTACATGTAACTTCATCCAGACATGAAAAGTAACTTAATGAATTGTGACCAAGTTATAATAAATATGTTTTCTGTGCAAACGAACTGACCGGGAGAGTGCCCTTGATAATGTGTTACATATGTCTGCCATTATGTAACAAAAATCTGGATACATCATTTGACAATAACAGTGAAATACAAGGAAGAATACAAACAATATATGCAACACATCTATATTTATATAGATATGCTAATGACAACTCAATATAACAACGCTTCTGCTAGATGCACACACATGTATAGAGTTACACAATGTTATACAACGACAATGGTATGCATACAACATGAATTAGACGCATGCAACTGCAAATGTAAACTCTTGTTTGATGTACACCGGTATTCACATGACATTCTATGGCCGCTGATGTATTCTGATCCGTCTCATACTTTTTAAATGGTTGATTGATTCGTCAAGATTGACACGGTGCCATTACAAAAAAAGTGCTTTCTTGTTCCTGCATATTCCTTTCACATCAAATTGATATTTATATCAAGCTTAGCAGAAACTGTGAAAATGAATATCTGACAGCAGATAAAATTCCACATTCGTCGTGTCTCTTGATTTCAAACACAATCAATCCTAGAAACACCATGGCAGGGTATTTCATGTTTTAGTCGAGTTATTTTCATTTCATTATGCATATTTCAGTCCCACCGGTGGAACCCATCTTCACTGAATCGTAAATTACTTTGTGTTTTATGTATGTTAACTATGTTTCAACGAGATGGTTCTTATCATCTAATTACCCATTTCAGAAACCGAACTTCACAATATTGACAGGGGAACATTTTTGAACGCCAGATTCATCACTATTCCAGAATTATTGCAATCTTGGACAAACAAAACCGTTTCCATATTCATTCGTAGAGTGTACCATTCATAAGCATGCGTTTATGAATCACTATCAACTTGTGATGATACCAGGTGTTCGCGAAAAGGTGGGTGTATCCTGCCCCACCGGTAGCACCCTTCACAAACACATGCAGAGTCAATTGCTCACCTGAAAAACACGGGAACATGTGGTGCATGTCAAAACAGGGAATTGCATCGGACATCGTTTTTGTCATTGATGCATCAAATTTCGAAATGTCCTCCACATGTCAACCATAAAATATTTTTGAAGAACGTCTCTGGCACGATCTCATGCAATCAATCCAGTCACCGAGCTGGATCATCCAGTCTAATTTAGTCGCATCTTATGACAAGCAATTGTGTTTTGAGAACCTATTTTAGCCAGGTAACAATGCAGCAAAACATAGGCATCTGTCAATTACAGGTATTATGTGTGTTGTCTTGTGGTTTCCATTTCTTCAAAACTAATTCTATTCCCCGGGGAGCGTAAATCTAACATTTTTGGGAACGCGCTTTTCTTTATTCCTTGTCGTCCCTTCTTTACATAATATGCCTTTGGTTGGTTGAAGAAATTGTAATCTTTCAATATAATCTCGCGCAAAACTGTCATCCTGAAGGTTTGAATCAAATGGTTGATCGTCATCACTGTCCATCGTGTCCATTTCGTCAATATCAAGATAATCATTGCCAGAATATTGATAAGCAGACAGTACCACTGACAAAGGTTCATCGAAAAGCATCCAACCATCGTCCTCATCACTCAGAGAGCTGCCTTCTTCTGGATCGAGGACTAGTATGTCCCTACTCCCCTCGCAATGGTCATTTTTTTTATTTTTCACCTCGTGTTCCTCGTCTTCTTCCTCTTTAATTTCACCTTCTTGTATTTTTTCCCTTACCACTGACTGCTCGTCGGGGTAGATTACCTTTTCAAATGTTTCTTGTTCAGCTACCCGGTCTGCTGATTGTTGTACCTCATCATTTCTAGAAGAACAATTCTCCTTGTCGATTTCCTTTTGCTTTGTGTCAGTTATGTCCCAAACCTGTCTGTCCATCTCTACTGTGTCATAGGGTTTGTCCTTAAACCATTTTTCACTTTCCGCTTCTTTAACATGTTCTTCTTGTTCATCATCGTGCACCTCTATCCTTTTAACTTCCTCTTTTGGTTGATCATCGGTTCCTACAACATCCTGTATTTGTAATTTATCATTTTCCATTTCTCCTGTTTCTTCTGGCACTTCCTGTGCCTGTTCATGTCCTGGGTTTCCATTTTCTGCTTCTTCGCCTATCCTGTCTGTGATACCATCAGACCACTCTTCATCTTCCCTTATATGTGCATCATTTCTTTCTTGAAATTTATCCTGCAATTTCATTGCATCTACATTTTCATTTTCTAAGATGTCTTCTTTTTTTAAAGCAGTATCCTGTGCTCCTTCTTTTTCCATGACATCATCTTGTACGCCTTCTCCGTCTGTTTTCTCCAAGGCATCCTGTACATCTACTTGTTTCTGTTCTAGAGTGCCACTCGGCACTTCTTCTCCCAAAAGGTTACTGTTCATCTTAACTAATGTATTCCCAAGTTCGTCAGCTGAATCTTCATCTTCCTTTCCTACAGTGTCATCAGGTGTATCCAGCACTTGTTGATCATCCCCCACCTGTACCTCCACCAACTCTTCATCCTCCAGTTTTCTGGACATTTCCAGCTTTTCTACATGCTCATTTTGTATAAAACAAAACTCGTCTCCCATCTCGGCTTCTTTATCTTCCATTTCTACAGCATCCTCCTCTAATTCTGTGCTTTGGTCTAAGTGCTTTTCCAATGATTTCCCTTGTGCTGTCGCTAATTGTTCATCGCTTATACCTGTTTCATCACTTTGCTCTTCTTCTAACAGTTCACTCTTCACTGTCTCTAACTGTTGATTGTCCTTGTTCTCTGTATCTGATGATGTACACAGTACTTCTTTTTGCTTATCATTAGAGTATGTGTGGGCAAACTTGTCATCCCTATCAACAATCGGGTCCGCTCCTTCCATCGTTTGTATCAATCCTTGATACTCTATATGCTGGCTACAACTGTCTGTTGCATCCCCATGTGCATCCTCATCCTCGTCTTCATAATCTGCTGCTGCTCCTCGTTGGTCATGCTTTAGGACTCCTTCTGTGTCTACTTGTTTTTCAACTTTCATTTTGTCTGTTGGCTGCATTTCCAAATTGCTCACTATGTCTTCATCTTCAGTCCCTTCCTCCTTTACTACCATAACATGTTCCGTTTCTTCATCTTGTTTTATCCTTATTGACGCTAGTTGTCGGCTGTTTTCTTGTTCTTCATGACTCTGTTCCTTAACTGACTCTTCTTTCTCACTGTCATCACCTTCACTGCCTTGATCTGTCTCTGCATCTTCAAATTCTACGTCCTCTTCATACTCATAGATGATACCAAGATATGTCTTTTGTGGGGCAACATAATCAATGAAGTATGCCATAATGTCTATATCTTCCTCTGGAGATGTATCATCTCCAGAGGAATGATAATCTGAATTCGCATCGGTTGTATGATTTTCCAACGTAACATTACTACATGGTGTAGTTGTACTGAAGGCACACTCGTCGACATTTTCAATATCGGTGTCTATGCTTGGTGTATATGTATCACCGCTATGTTGTCCTGTTTCTGTTGCTACATTTTCCACATGGTCCATTTCACCTAATTTTCCACAACTGCCATCATCAATTTGAGAATATAAGTCAAGGTAACGGTTTAAGTGTTTATGTGTCTTTTTCGAAGGTGACATTGGAGGATCGTCGGCATGAGTTGGCTCTACATCATGATTATCCGTTTGGCTGCTACCTACAAGACGTTCTACAAGTTTTGTTTTTGGCAAGTGAACATTTTCAAAGGAAGAAGTTTTGTCTTTCGGCTTCAAAACAGGACTGTTCACGGTTGCAGTCTTTTCTACTTTCGATAAGACCCCATGATTGTCTGTGTGGTCAACATGGGAACTACACGTGCTGTCTTTAATAGCTCTGGTTTGACCTGAATCTTCAACAACCTGAAATTGTTTATCTCCATGCTTTATAACCAGAGTGTATCCGTATTTGTCATATATTAATTTAGGTCTCTTAAGTGTCCCAGTCGCAGGCTTATCATTAGCACTAACCACAAGGGGTTCACCTGTACTGATGTCATCATTTGGGTGATCTTCAGCAGGTTTTGGTTTGTCATCTTTAGTAGCAGAGGAATCAGCGGACCCAGGCCTACAGCATCCACCGTTGATCGTTTTCGGCGTGTCAGTTTTTTTGTCACTGCATGAAGTGAAATATGACAGCTCCATGTAATCAGAATGTACAGCATGTCTGAATTCTGGTATTGTATTTTGTCTGATTTCTTGGCTATTAGGCTCTTGTGCTGATCCCTCCAAATGCCCATTCTGGAGTGAGCTGTTTTGCAAATGTGTACTGATGGAAGTGTGTCCAGATTCACCCAGAGACAACGAAGCAGGAGGAGTCATGTTGGTATGCCCTTCAGGAAGTCCACGCTCCACATTCACTTCAGATGAGGACAGTTCTTCGTCATATCTATTGGTATTTGTATTGGGGCCATCCAAATCATCATAAACCACCCATGTAACCTCTTGACGTCTCCTCCTGCAGCACCTTAAACAAGCATAGGGATTATTTCAGATTGAGGGCCTTCATTTCAATGCATGTTTCACAAATCTACTGGTGAAATCACTTTAATTTCGTCTCATAGTTTGCTTCAATGATTAGCTTTAAATATATTATGACACACTATATTTACCTGTGTTTGTAGAGGATGAAGATTATTATCATCATCAAGACAATTCCACAAAGGATACTAAGGATTATTATCGCCACATATTCACCTGAAAAGAGGAAATACAAATATGCATGTATTTCTTTTACGTACCAATGGTCGATTCAAATACATATGGTATTGATGTTTCTTGATGTCGACTCATTATGGGATTGGGTTACTAAAGGCTCGGCCGTCTATGGAGATGCATAAATTAGTCGTTCTAGAAACCGATGCTAGTTGGTTTGAATCCAAGATTCGCCCTGATTATGATGATAGGTTTGTCTGCACCATACACTGTTGTAGGTTTCACGAAACGGGTAAACGTCTAACATATGCATCAGTTTGGACTTTCCTCCCAGATTAAGTCGGTATGCCATGAAATAAATGAAATTATGTGCACAGCAGTGAAATATCCAACTCACTCAACCACTAATGTTAAGCATGTTGAGATACAACCCTTTTCCCAAGATGTAACGCAATCGATACACGTAACCTGCAAATCAGATATGGGGAAAGTACACATATTTACCAGAAAGGTTTGGAGATTCTGTGGTTATGGGCATTGTATTTTGGATTAACTTCTCCGCGCGTATGCCAGTAGGCCAGAGCATTCTAGACACTTGTGTAGTGGTAGCTAAGGGTGTTTTCACTTGCTGAAAGGGTAACTTTGGCGTTGTCGGTGTGAATACTGATGTCAATGTTGGAGCAATCAACGAAGTCACAGGTGTTATCAGAAGTTGACCTGTTAGAAAAGGAGGTTCGTTGCTTGTAGTTCCGGTAAAAGACGATGACTGTGGCGTCACTGGCATCATTAGGGTTGATCGGCTTGACTTCATTGTGGTGTCACTGGTAGGGTTTGCTGATCCTTCATTCCAACCAGTTAAAGATTCCAATGACGGGGATTCTCCAAACGTGTCTGTTTGTAAGTTTGGTTTCTCTGTGTGTTCTACTGAAGATGAAGATTGTAACGAAGATGATACTGCGGAGGTTATTTTCACTGTATGATCTGGATACGTTGGTATTGAGGATAGAGTGGCCGCGAGGGAGGAGGATTGGATCTGTGTATTATCATTTGATGACGCCACAGCTATACTCGAAGCGCCAGACACGGAGTACATGTTGCGAGAAGACACGGGTGTGTATGGTGATCCTGCAAAAGTAATAATGAAGTGTTATTATCAGTCTTCGAAATGTGATCATGAAGAGATACAGACATAGTGATGAAAATACCTAATTTCCCACACCCACTCTTATCTAAGGCAAATTATTTCACTAGGGTCATACATTTGATATCCAATTGAATGGAGTGTAATTGTCTATTCGTAATCCCTCGTAAATGTTGCCCTTTGAGCTAGTACCCTGTCTAAGTATAGAAGTAGGAGACCAGATAACCCTGCACACGCAGCAGACAGGGAATTCCAGTTTCACTTGAAACTGAGATGTCACCGACTGCATCTGCTGTAAACGTCAACACACGATGAAATACAGTGTTTCAAAGGCTAGTCCTGTCAGTTCATACTACCACAGAACATACTGTTCGAAATGTTTCACAAACAGTTCATCGTCAGTTCTAGTGAATACCTGTGGGTCATGTCTTATTTAGCCTACTTCTTAGTTGAATATAAATAAAGCGACAAAACACTTTCCATATCAAATAGAACTCTCTGCAAAAACCAGGCTATAATGTCTGACGCTGCCAACTTTGACGTCTTTCCCGCTGTATGACCGGCGACCATGTATCAAGGACAATGATGTGTAGTTTATCTCAAAGGTATTTTTTCTCCTTACATTCATTGACGTTAATGTTCATTAACGGCCTTGCACATTGGCGTGAAACATTTAGTGAGTAAGCAAACACCACTTATTTTTTGGTGATCTTCGGATCATGTCAGGAAAGAAGTTCTGAATTTACATTTTGTTATATGTAAAGAGCATTAACTCAGTAAAGGGGAAATAACCCTGCCGTATAGTCTCACCCTTAAGTCTTCGGTCAACGTGAACTGTCACAAGTTCGTTAATCGAAATTGATAATCAGTTGCATAATTATGCATATTTGAATAAGATACTATTTTTTCTGCTAAGGAACTTCGCCATTTGATAATATAATTACAAATATAGATTAGTTCAGTTTGTTATCCTTTGTTTAGTTGCAAAAAGCGGTAATCTTTGTGATAAAAAAAGAACGAATGGATAGAGGGGGAGTGGTCACGTAAGGGTTAACACTCATCCAGTCAGTTGACTATACCGACTGAAAAGTGATATGTGCACACTGTGCAAATATCTGACAAATGTGTTCCGATAAGTGGTAATAATCTCTACTTCCTTATAGCAACATACACACATATATATTCCCATATATTTTCATATAGGAAACTGATATCCATCTTGTTATCATATAGGGTGCCTGTCTACATGTCGACCTTTTCCTCATACTGGATATGAATCAGACGTATAGTTCATCCAAATGCATTGCACGTTTACTTTTCTCCCTGTTCTGGATACAGGCTAGGCAACAGAAATGGACCGAGTATATATTGCTGACATCAATTAACTGAAAGTATGTTTACTTGAAATTGTGACATCCAAAATAAGGAATCTAAAAATAGTACTTCGCTTGGATGAGGTCGGCTAGCCTGACAAGTGAAATGGACGGCTTTCTGTTTGCTTCCCAGGACCAGTCACTTCCCACTCGAAACCTTCAATATGTGATTTTGCATCGAAATGTAAATTTGAATTGTTGAGTTTGCATTTAACTTAATGAGACTGTCCATATCATTGTCAGCGCATGCCAAAGCTTTGACACAAACACAGAATCATAAGCGACATGATGGCTTGGCCTGATCCTTTTATTACCGTCTTTGCCATGCTTGTGTATTTGACCCAGAAGTCCATCCATGGTACGATCCAGAATATGCAAGGGGCCTCATGGAAAATGATAATCACTAACTAATTTGGAACAGCCTTAGACGTATCCAAGCCAGCAAACCTGATCGTGTTATGTTTGATAATTACAATGAAATCGTTTATATCATTGAATGTTCTGTCCCTTTTGGCACAAATGTGATTGACAAGATTCAGGGAAAATATGGCAAATATGCGGACCTCGCATGCGAAATGTCATGCTTGCATCCCTAGTACCAAGTTGCCCAATTCTCCATTGTTCTCGGTTGCCTTAGGTTTGATATACCTCAATCTGAGTGGCATTGGAAGAGTAGTCAGGTTTGCTGCCAGGAACACTGCCATTCTGACACAATGGGTTATGCAAAAAGCTGCTGTGTTGGGGAGTCTTCACATTCTCCGAAAGGTTCGACTAGGCAGCGCTTCCTTGGAAAGTCCCATTTGCTGTCTGGGCTACGTGTAGAGGGTGTGTGGGCCCTGGGCTGATGATGAGCCTAACCAGTCTGACTGTACCAGGAGCAATAAACAAATAATCGTTTACAATCCGTAATGTCCAGGTTGTCTGATTTGTTGGGGTGACTGTTGGAAGTAGTTCATAACTATCGCAAGTTACAAAGACAATAAGAGGATAAAACAATGACCGGTCAGTATATTGTGTCTACGTGGGGTATGGTAAACTGCAGCATGGTATCTCGGCATTATTCCGGATTAATACATGCAGCCACACACTCGAGTGCTTGCACGTCACTATATAAGTGGGGGCACGGGTGGCCCAGTCGTCTAAGGCGCTGCGATTCGCTGTGCAGAGTTGCGTCCTTTAGGCACGCCAGAAACCTATGATTGTGGGTTCCAATCCCGGTTCGCCCCGATTATGTTTCTAAGTTTGTCAGCACCAAACCCTTGCTCGTGGGTTTCACCGAAGTGGTAAACGTCTGAGACCTGCATCACTTCAGGCTTTCCTCCCACACTAAGCTGACACGCCGTGTTATGACTGGAATACTGTTAAAAGCGGCGTTAAACCCAACTCACTCACTCACTCACTCACTCACTATATAAGTGCAGTAATCTGGAACGCTGTGTTAAACCCCATTTCCCCTCACCTAACACGTGTGTCATGTGTATGTAACGTGGCTCAAAGCATCATTCAACCTTTAACATACACGGTATATTAGTTTGAATAAAATACGGATTGGACAGTACAATGTTTTTACCAAAAAAAGGTAGGTGGTATAATCTGTGGTTTTATGGCGTCAACATTTCTCCGTTGCATGATTGTAGATTTATTCAATTTTTACGGAAAAACATATTTCGCTAAACATTTCAAATAAGGTTCCACCACCAAGGGCAAGGGTTAATAAAAGCATTAAAAACATTTCTATATTCATAAGAAATATCTGCTAAAAGCAAAGTCCGTTTTAGGTTGTAAGACTACATCATGAGCATGTGCTTGTGAATCGCTATCAAATAGTGATGATACCAGGTGTTCGCGAATAGGTAAGCGTATTTTGCCCCAGCGGTGACCTCGGTCACAAACACATTCAAAGGCAAGTCAATTGCCCACCAGAAAGAATATTCCATATTCGAAACTGGTTATTCTCTGGGGTTATCATTGTCTGCTGATTGATACATAGCCCATCAGTGTCAGCAACACACCAAGCTTTACCGACCGGAAGGTACGGGGTTGAAAAGGTCTTAAGCAACTAATGCTTCCGTAAAAGGCGACAATGCTTGTCGTAAGAGGCGACTAACGGGATCGAGTGGTCAGGCTCCCTGACTTGGTTAAAGCATGTCATCGATCCCAATTGCGTGTATCGATGCTCATGATATCAATCACTGGATTGTCTGGTCCAAACTCGATTATTTACAGATCGCCGTCATATAGCTGGAATATTGCCGCGTAGTGCGGCGTAAAACAACACATAAACCAAGCTATACCTTTCGTAGCGAAGCCATGGTACACCATCTTGCATTTTCAGAGATCCGTTCATAATTGTCACCGCTATTTGCCTTAACTTTTCAACCAAATGAATCTGTTTCGGCAGATAATCTAGACTGGTTTTTCTCTGGCATTGATGTACTTGCTCCAAAGGTTCAGAAATAACATTAAGTCCCTAACAAGTCTCATGTTCCTAATGCCGATGCTTAGTATAATCTTACATGTTGTTCATTTTCAAATCAAATTTTGGGTTTTTAATATTTTCAATTTTGCTAATATTATCCACTGGTATCATAAAGAAAAGTTCAAATAACTGTGTCCAACGCCACAGTAACGTCATACAACGTGGACTAGGCAAACAAGTGGCACATATTATGATCGGGCAACGACGACATACAATCAGGAAGAGCACAAAGCATAACCACCCGCTACCTATTACAAGTATTTGGTACTTGCGGGGACCTATTCTGTACCGGTGTCTACCACATGGCGACCATTGGGCTACTACCGAATCTCCACTGGACCACCACTGGAACGCCACAAGGCAACTTTTGTGTCACCACTGAGACTTTTATAGACCTCAACTAGGCAACACCTTATCCACCTAGGGACCACCTCTAAGCAAAATTTTATTTATGCCACCACCGAGGGGCCACTGGACAACATCAAGGCAACATGTGACCCATCACTGGAGCACCAATAGGCAACATTGCGCAACCACCGAGGAACCGTCAGAGTGAGTGAGTGAGTGAGTTGGGTTTAACGCCGCTTTTAACAGTATTCCTGGAACCGTCAGACCATCGTATGGGAACACATGTGCCGTCAATGGGCCACGCCAAGGCAATATTTGGGCCACCACTGGGTCACCAATAGGCAACATTTGTGCAACCACCGAGGAACCGTCAAACCACCGCGTGGGAACACCTGAGCCGCCAATGGGCCTTGCCAAGGCAATATTTGGGCCACCACTGGGCGACTTCAAGAACACATCTGACCAATTACTGGGTCACCAATAGGCAACGTTTGGGCCACAAATGGATGACCTCCGGGTCATACCTGAGCCATCACTGGGCCGAAATAGGCAACGTTTGGGCCACCCCTGGATGACCTCAAGGTCACACCAGAACCATCCCTGGGCCACCAATAGGCAACATTTTGGCCACCACCGAGCATTCACTGGGCCACCTCAAAGTCACGCCTGAGCCATCATTGGGCCACCACAAGGCAACATTTGGGTCACCTCGGAGCCACCACTGGGCTCTCATTGGGCCACACCGTGGCCCTCATGCATAAATCCGTCAGATGAAATATAGAAAATATGAATATAAAACGTCAAAGCCAGAGAACAACCAGTCTCGATTATCCGGCGAAACAGATCCCACTGGGCGCAAAACGCACGCTATAACCCGACATTTTCCAATTGTAAACATAACAATATGTTTCCTTATAGAAGTGTCAATGCCGTGTTCACAAATAAAGTGTTATGCGTCGACATTGAACATACATTTGACGTCTACTTACCGTGTACCGCAACTTCACACACGAGAATGAACCCACAACAAAACACCATCGACATGGTAGTTGCCATTTTCTAGTCACAGTTTGGTCGCTCTGTACATCCTTCCAAACGGCTGTTTCTGAGTTTCATTTTCTAGCTTAAATTCAGCTATCAACTAGTCGAGTAGCTTCAACCAAACTGTAGGAAAACTTTCCTTGTCCGTTCGCGTGTAACAACAGCCATTGTTCTCGCACTTATCACACTGTATACGGCAGCTTGGTGGCTTTATGTGCTTTATGTAGCAACAAATGATCCAAGCTGATATGCCGAAGGGTTTTCCTTGTTAGAGGGCCACCACATTTAAACGTTGTGTTTGCAATGATGCTGTCAGCATACTCCATTTATAAAGGTTCCGTGGTGCACTAAACCTGGTTGTCCTGTTTCCTTTTCGTGAACACTTTATACTGTATTTGTTGTATTGACGTTATTGATCTTGAAGAACAAGCATTATTTTTAAAGCAATCATTACAAATATAAATGCAGAGTTACTTCCCTTAGTCAGACCCGGATCCGCAGGTCGTGGGTTATCAAATGTTCAATTTCAACTGCCAGCGCCTCTTTGGGCTTAAGGCTGATCATAACGAGTCGTGACATCAAGTAGCGACATGTTGTTTCTATTTAAGAGGAGCCATGTTCAAAAAGGAATTGTAAAAACGGAATTTGTATCACAAGCTTTATTATACAAAAGGGACAAATCACAAGCCAGTTGCAGGAAGCTATTTAGCGCCTAGCTTATCGTGGGTGTATTTAAAGCATAAGATTAGCCACAACCGTACAACTAAGGTTGCTTGGTGTATGTTAGAGAAGCTATGACAGGAGGATCTGCGCCCATCGTGCTACGAACTTCCCTCTATTGGTCGCCCCGTTGCCGCTCTTCCCATACGGCCCTTGTGTTGCAGTCAAATACTTCAATCACTGGTGTAACACTTGAGTCCTTGCTGTTCATCATGTTTCTCTGTTTCAGGGAATATAATCTATAAATGCAACACATATTTTAAATATGAATGTGTCTGAGTGGGGTATTCATGTTAAACTGCGGCATGGTACCTCAGTGAGCTAGCACTATGAATCGGCATCAGTCCGGACTAGTACAAGCAGCCACACAAACACACACACGTACATGCACGTCGCTATATAAGTGCAATAATCTTGGACGCGACGTTAAACCCCATTTCACCTCACCTCTTAGCAGTTCATCCAGTTTTGTGGGACATCATAATTGATGCATGAGTGTTCTCCCATGGTCTGTCCACCCGATAACTATGGGACTTAAAATATGTACAGGAAACTACGGTTATAACGAACTCAAAGGGACTACTAATTTTAGTTCGTTATAACCGTAGTTCGTTATAAGTACATATACAGCATGACTACAGCAAGTAGTCGGGACCAAAAAGTAAGTTCGTTATATCCGTCAGTTCGTTATAAGCGTGTTCGTTATAACCGTAGTTTACTGTATTTAGGAAGAATGGGTATTCAGAATACATATGAACAGTAAGGGACCGACAATTTGAAATTCTGGGTTTTTTATATGGAGACTAGCTATTTTGTAAACTACATCTGCAAAACCGGATATTTATTTTAATAAAAACTATGGACCAAAATATTTTGTTGATCAATGGCAGGGGGCAACAGCGTATTTTTGTGGTTGACAATTTCTATTTTGCAACAGTCAGAAGCACACAAAAAATCAAGAATGTTTTGATAGAATTTATTTTTTGGGTAAAATCCAAGGCATGTTTTAACGTTTGTTCAAAATGATTCACCGTCAACAACATGTATGGTAGCACACACATATTCAGCTGAAGTGTGATCAGGACCGATATTGAATTATCTAATTTTGTTTCAAACAAATGAATATTATTTATGATGACGTTCGATTGTGTTTGATTTAATGTATCTAGTTACAATTGTATCATAGTTCCACTACCCACGACAACAGTATCCTGCCTCCGCTTATTTCCTGTATGCTACTGATACATACTTAGTCAATGTAAGCATTCAAATAGGAAATTAGAATATTGAGGCTGCTCGCTCGCTCACTCACTCACTCACGAGTGTTCCTGGAGAAGATTTTAAAATGTGTTTTAAATGAGTGAGGACATTAACATTTTACTACTAAGTTACCATATTTATTTCAAATATTACAAAATCAAGTAAACATGTATTCTGGTACATGTTTTGCTTCACTATGACCCAAGTCACAAGAACATTTTTTATAAGTTTGTTTGTTTGTTTGTTGTTTAACGCCGCTATCCCAGCTATATGTCGGCGGTCGGTAATCGAGTCTGGACCAGAAAATCCAGTGATTGGCATCATGAGCATCGGTCTACGCAATTGGGATACGATCAACCAAGTCAGCGAGCCTGACTACCCGATCCCATTAGTCGCCTCTTACAACAAGCATTGGTAGAATCAGGTTTAGCATAAACATGTAGTGAGTATGAATGGAGCGTACACACTAAAGTATCAGGGATTAACCTAACACTAACACTTCCTTATGTATGTATGTATACATGTTACAAAATCAATGTAATCTGAATTTGTCAATAGCAACAACTCGGTAACGAGATAAGATTGAAAAGCTCGCTGGAATTTTACTTTTATCATAAAAGTAGTGCTGGCTGTTGTCAAGCGGTTTACGGTATCACCAGATCGTGCGTTTATTTGCATACTTAGTCCTTAATCGTTTTGTATTGGAAATGTTCATTCATTATATTTCAATGTTCTGCTGGTATATTCAAATAATTCATTCACCCCGCTTAGGTGTGGTGGAATGTAGTTTCACGTCGCGTTCAAGATTATTGCACTTATGCAGCTACGTGCAGATAATTTTACTGCATACAACATTTTTTTCAGGGGTTATTTTTTCTTTTCAGGAGTGGGGAGGGGGGGGGGGGGGGCTGGAGCTCCCCCTCTGGTTCCGCCAATGATCTTTTGGTGTGACGCGGCCGAGGATCAAACCCAGATCTTCCGCTCTGCGGGCTGACGCTCCATCAACTGGACTGTGGAGGCGCTTCTACCCGTATTCAGCTGTATTCTAGTTTTATACGGGTATACGGGTAAACGATAAATATCTATTCAAGTCAATTCTTGATACAGGTTTGTCATAGACTGATCAGCACTTGAAGCCTGAGTATTTGAGACCCAGAATCCCACCTGGTGGTAAAACATGGCCAATTAACCCCCTGTAGGATAACATGAACTTTGAACCGGGAAGTCTTCCTGCCTTCAGTAGTCAGATGTGGTTGCAGTGTATCGGTGAATTCATTATAATTATTTTACGCTGCTTTGAGCACTATGTCAGGAATATCCTGTCTGTCAGCTTAATACTGGAGGATAATCTGAAGTAATGCAGGTTTTATACTTTAAACACCCGAGGATGGGTATGCTGCTAATATACCCATGATCATAACCAGGGCGAATCGGGAATTCGAATTCATGTTCTGAGGTTAAAGGCGCAACTAAGGGACCCAACTCTGCATGACAAATTGCGGCGTTTCTTGCAACTGGACAACCGATTTTGAGGTGTGGTTATGAAATGGATTATAGGCAAACGGAATATTTCTGTAACACTTTGTAAGTTGACACTGACACATGTTGTTCATAACAAGCTGTCAGAACACGTCAATCACTGAGACAAGAACACCTTAACGAAGACTCATTAAGATCATCTTAGCGCTAAGATCGCTTTGTGCAAGTGGGCCCAGGTCCGGTTTCCCGTGTGTCAATTCATGTGTGATTTATCATGTTGAAATTTGATTGAGTGAGTATGGTTTTACGCCGCTTTTAGCAATATTCCAGCAATATCACGGCGGGGAACACCAGAAATGAGCTGGACACATTGTACCGATGTCGGGAATCGAACCCGGGTCTTCAGCTAGACGAGCGGACGCTTTAACCACTAGGCTACCCGACCGCCCCGTTGAAATTTGAAACAACTGTTGCTAATTCAAATTTTAGTCTTGTCGTTATAGGGCCCTTGTTGAACAAAGACATAACTGATATAGTCGATCTTGGACGCCTACAGTCTGCACTGCACTTACCACAACTTAGAGTTACATTTGAAAAGGTTAGTGCATTAATAGTCCGAAGTTTGAAAAAACGTCAACAATTTGTCATGCAATGGATGTTTGTGTACAGAAAAATGAAATAATGTTGTTATTTCAAATACATATATGTTGAACATATGAAATTGCGAGATCATAAAATGAAAGCACTTATTGACATTAGTAATTAATTGTTATGAACAATCATCAGAAGCAATAGTTACTATTATTGAGGGTCTGAATCAAAGGAATTAACTCTTGTAATGAAGTCTAATATTAATGTTTTAATCAATTCATTTTATTACAATAAAATATAAACTGACTTAAAAGATCATTTTAACTGGAGACTTTCAAGACGCTTAGGCAGATTTTTAAGAATTGACCTTCACTCCGACGTTAATACAGTTTGCTCCTCACTCTATGAAGGTTCATACTCCAATGAACTCACACAAAGTGAAAGTCAATTCTTATTAAAAATTTATCACAATTTCTTACCTCAAAGGATGTAGGCCAAGATCTAAACACAATTTTATTTAGTACGTGTGACTTCATGTTTACACTGACAGCCATACAACAACAACCAGCTATATCGCGGAGTAAAATAGTTCCTCAAAAAGAGAGGTGACATGGGCGTATGGATGCACAACTTGCTCTTCAGAAACATCTTACGCAGCACATGTGTTCAAATCATATCCTGTTTTGAGATGAGAAAGGTCAGTAAAGAACTACCTCAGTAAGTCAGTCACAATGACAGCGCGTCGTAATACATTTACATCAAGTACGAGACGTCAAAATGGCCGACACTATAAACGGACGGGAGAGATTTCCGAAGTTGTTAATGAACCTGTGGCGGTTACATGTGTTAGTCATCATTTATCAACTGGCGGATCATTGAAAGGCGAATAAAGATGCGTCAAACAGACACTAAGGTAAATTCATAGATTGCTGGAGACAGTCAATATCAGCCAAGGCACGGATTGACTCGATACTACGATAGTTTAGATTATGCATTTCTTCGTTTGTTCATTAGTAAAGGCCGCAGCGAGGATATTCGTGAACAATCATGCAGTCACGCTCTCTGACATTTCTCAACGTATACTGAAACACTGAGACCAAGAATAAAGGTTCTAAATGATCAGAAAGAACGCTTATGTATGTTTTCGTGCTAGTGAATTCCCAGGGGTTTCCCCAGGAATGTGGAAGTAGTCCGTAAGTGTTTACGTCATTTCAAGAACACGATCTCGTGAAAAACGTATGAACGTCCATTTGTGTCGTTCATACACTTATGAACGTCAATTTCGCGGTCATGTGACCGACCTCTCGTCCAATGGAAAAGCCGTATATCGTGTAAACGTCAAATTAAAAAATTATAATTTTTTGAACTGTAGATCGTCTAGATCTACTTCCAATAGGTAATGAAAAAACTGTACTGGGTAAAAGTATACGCCCATGTTTGACGGTGGCTAAAAATGAAACAAGAAATGGTGAGTCGATGGTGATGTACTAGTATATCATACGGGTATCACAGTTGTGTTTTGGGCCTTAAGTTTGCCTGTTTTCAGCCTAGTAACGTTTTGAAAACGTTTGTATTTTTTACCAAATTCAATTTTTAAGTGTATACTTTCTTTTGCCCGTCAGTGTACAAATCAATATTATTAAGAACCAAAGATTCCTTTATCCGGACATATTTAAATCCGAATTCATTTGAAACTTACAATCCGGATTAAGGAGGTTTCGCTGTATCATATTACCCATTTCAACCTTAAGCGACAGGAAATCCTTGAAGAGTAATCGGATGTGACCTACAAGTACATTCACAAATAGGATATATGTTAATGACACATGCTATGTCATCACAGACTTCAGTGATGAGGGGGCACGGGCATCCTCCCGAGGCAAGAGAGTTAACTGACTTTAAAAGTCCAGTTTCCACCCTTGCCGAACTAGGCTGGAATTACTGGGCACGATCGTAGCACCACCAGTGGCTATTACGAGTTATGTCCCTTCTATACCTCTTCTATGGACCAATCAGATTCCACCTCTCGTATCACTTGCATTTGCTTCAAACAAAACGGTGGCACCCATTCAAGACTATATGATCGATAATCAAGATCTATATTGTGATAAAACGAGTCTAAAATCGGGAAGTGCATCAAATCACGTGAGCACCTGGATTAAAAACATGAAAAGATTTAGAAAATATCTGTTGACAACGTGTTAGCGGTGCACATGCTTTGCAAATCCTGCAGTCGACCAGAACTGCATGACAGTTTACGAACCGGATTTCGATTTCGTTGCGCGGTTTTGATTGGACTATGCATAGACTCGTTAGTCCAGCCAAAATGTAACTCCATAATACCAGCCTAGTTCGGCATGGGTGGAAACTGGACTTTTATAGTGATAGAACGTGATAGATCTTATATATTACCCTGGTCACTGGATCAGTGTGAACTCGATTTTCATTCTTGGATCCCAGGTCATTATACAACTCAAGCAGTCTGTGGGGCGATAGAAAGCAGTTACATTACCATCACTTCCTACCGGGTACCCATTCACTGCTGGGTGAACAGAGAAATCCCCTCGGGTGTCAACAGTAATTATTTCACACGAGTCAATACATTTAGAATTTCCAATCTTAAAGGAATAACATAAGATAATACTCCAATTGTTGAAAAAGACAGTACAGTAGATGTACTAACATTAAATGATCTGAGACCATTAACTGAAAACATAGGCAAAAGGCACAAACAAACAACTTCAACCTTAAAATGTTTATTTGACAGATTATAATACATTTTGAGTAATTTTGTACAATGATAACTTCATAAAGCATTACAAATGATCATTCCAAATAAAGTTCAAATAATAAAATGACAAAATAATCTATATCGTTTTGTCCCCATTTAGGAGGTTTAGACGATGTGATCTGTGTGTAAAGGAACACATCGTCTGAACCTTCTTTGCGCCCATTAAGAAGGAGGTTTAGACGATGTGGTCAGTCTGTAAAGGAACACGTCGTCTGACCCTTCTTTGCCCCCGGGCCCACTATGAAGGAGGTTTAGACGATGTGCCCAGTGTGTAAAGGAACACATCGTCTGACCCTTCTTTGCCCCCGGGCCCATTATGAAGGAGGTTTAGACGATGTGACCAGTGTGTAAAGGAACACATCGTCTGACCCTTCTTTGCCCCCATTAAGACGGGGGTTCAGACGGTGTGATCAGTGTGTAAAGGAACACATCGTCTGACCCTTCTTTGCCCAATTAAGACGGGGGTTCAGACGGTGTGATCAGTGTGTAAAGGAACACATCGTCTGACCCTTCTTTGCCCCCATTAAGAAGGGGGTTTAGACGATGTGACCAGTGTGTAAAGGAACACATCGTCTGACCCTTCTTTGCCCCCATTAAGAAGGGGGTTTAGACGATGTGACCAGTGTGTAAAGGAACACATCGTCTGAACCTTCTTTGCCCAATTAAGAAGGGGGTTCAGACGGTGTGATCAGTCTGTAAAGGAACACATCGTCTGAACCTTCTTTGCCCCATTAAGAAGGGGGTTTAGACGATGTGACCAGTGTGTAAAGGAACACATCGTCTGAACCTTCTTTGCCCAATTAAGAAGGGGGTTCAGACGGTCTGATCAGTGTGTAAAGGAACACATCGTCTGAACCTTCTTTGCCCCCGGGCCCATTATGAAGGAGGTTCAGACGATGTGACCAGTGTGTAAGGGAACACATCGTCTGAACCTTCTGTGCCCCCGGGCCCATTATGAAGGGGGTTCAGACGGTGTGATCAGTGTGTAAGGGAACACATCGTCTGAACCTTCTTTGCCCCATTAATAAGGAGGTTTAGACGGTGTGATCAGTGTGTAAGGGAACACATCGTCTGAACCTTCTTTGCCCCATTAAGAAGGGGGTTTAGACGATGTGACCAGTGTGTAAAGGAACACATCGTCTGACCCTTCTTTGCCCCATAAAGAAGGGGGTTCAGACGGTGTGATCAGTGTGTAAGGGAACACATCGTCTGAACCTTCTTTGCCCCATTAAGAATGAGGTTTAGACGATGTGACCAGTGTGTAAAGGAACACATCGTCTGAACCTTCTTTGCCCCATTAAGAAGGGGGTTCAGACGGTGTGATCAGTCTGTAAAGGAACACATCGTCTGAACCCTTCTTTGCCCCATTAAGAAGGGGGTTCAGACGGTGTGATCAGTCTGTAAAGGAACACATCGTCTGAACCTTCTTTGCCCCATTAAGAAGGGGGTTCAGACGGTGTGATCAGTGTGTAAAGGAACACATCGTCTGAACCTTCTTTGCCCCATTAAGAAGGGGGTTCAGACGGTGTGATCAGTGTGTAAAGGAACACATCGTCTGAACCTTTGTTAATGGGGCACTGGTGACCCGGCCAGTGCTCGTTTGCAAGATTCGTGGTTTCGTTTCAGATTCCCCCGATAACAATCCTTGGTTTTTAAGCACCATGCCTGTGCTTATTGGTTCTCCAAAGTGTGCACCCAACTTGCTTCCTCTTGTATGGGGAGTTTATCTACATCCGTTGCAAAGGCTGTGACATATCAACATAACTATGTGGTCTTGAGTCGGTGATATCTGGATCAGCAACTGTGAAACGCACAGCTGTGTAACTGTGGGGGCAACTGAGCTGACGTGCAGTTGTCAATGAGCTGTATATTCGGGACCCTTGCTCCACACGGTGCACAATGTTATGCACTTTTACCAATAACGATCTGGAAGGAAAAGGCAACATGATAGGACATGTTTCAACTGATATCTCATCTTAAACAGATTTATTGAATGTTTATATATCCTTCCATGTAAACAGTGAATGATAGCCCTGTCACAGTTTCACAAAGCGACTTTAGCGCTACGACTGCCGTAAGTCTATGTTTAGGTACAGGAGTTACGACGGTCGCCTTTTGAAACGGGGACCAGGTCAGTATGTACGAACATATCTTATGTTGCTTCTAACAATTGCTAAATATTCTTACAATTGGTAATTCGCGTATTTGTGAGTTTATGTAATCTTCTCGATGCAGTGGGGTTAAATAACTATAAAAGTCCAGTTTCCACACTTGCAAGTGATTGGATGAACTTTTCGAGGTAAAACCCGTTTTATTACAATGTAGATTTTGATTATCGACCAGGTCGTCTTTACTGGGCGCCCGAATTTTGTTTAAAGGGAGTGATATAAGAGGTGGAATCTGATTGGTCAATAAGCGGGACACAGAAGGGGCATAACTCGTGAAAGCCACTGGTGGGGCTACGATCAAGCCACTTAATCCAGCATAGTTTGACAAAGGTGGAAACTGGACTTTAAAGTGAGATAACTTCCTAGCCTCGGGAAGATGGTTCTTATTGGATTTGTTGACATCCTGAGGCAGTGGTCAACATACTTATTTTATCGTTTTATCTTTCATCAATTAATATCTGTATTCAGTTTTATGAAGCACGCAGTTTGTGTTCCTGTCCAGTATATATAGTAGCCTAAGAATACTAAGTAATCATGGCCCGATGCATAATTTCGTGACAGTCAGCAAAATTATGACGGGACATATTTCTTGAGTCTTCGTGTGTTATCAGTCTTCTATACAAATACTGATAACACGGACTTCACTTTGATGAAAACATTTATAATAAACAGTTACAATTACGGATTTTATATATAGGCACGAATGACGCCTTAAGTTGTCAAACACACACACGATACACGACCCCCCACTCCATACACACACACACACACACACACACACACACACACACACACACACACACACACACACACACACACACACACACACACACACACACGATACACGACCCCCCACTCCACACACACACACACACGATACACGACCCCCCACTCCACACACACACACACACACACACACACACACACACACACACACACACACACACACACACACACACACACACACACACACGATACACGACCCCCCACTCCACACACACACACACACGATACACGACCCCCCACTCCATACACACACACACACACACACACACACACACACACACACACACACACACACACACACACACACACACACACACACACACCAATCACCCCACCCCCATCCCCACCCACCCAAAAATAACGGAAATGCCTTGTGTTGTTTAAATATTCAAGCACAAACTTTTCTGACTGTCAAGTGCGTCCTCCCCATTCCACTGAAGGAAGAGAGATAGCACTTTTTGTACACCCGGGATTCGACCCGATTAAGTTCTTTCAAAGGTAAAGTGGCAAAAGGTATAAAAGAAGATGTATAAAAAATATGTTTATTCTTGAGCGATTAAAATACCTTTGCTTGATAGCCATTATCAGAACTGTCAGGATTCCGAGAACAGCTATCAACGGTACAATAGAGGTGTATGCAATCTGGGAGCTCTGGTTCATACCTGCAGATGAAGGAGAATAACATCATGTTGTCAGTGTCCACGTGGTTTAATCAAGCATGGTTAAACAAGCAAATATGCAGAACTGATATGACACTCTCTAAAGTATCATGGCTAAAGCTAACAATGTAATCAGTTAGGGACAAACTATATATCTGATATTCGAGAAGCCAAACAATTGGAGGAGTTTGTTTGGTATTTGTTCTGTTTAACGTCTCATTCAGCAATAATCCAGCTACATGACGGCGGTCTGTAAATAATCGAGTCTGAACGAGACAATACAGTGATTGATATCATGAGCATCGATCCACGCAATTGGGATTCGATGACATACATCAATCCACCCGTTCCCGTTAGTCGCCTCTTACGGCTAGGATGGGTTGCTGAAGATGTATTCTAAGCCGGATCTTCAAGAGGAGTCTTGACATGATATCGGATAGTCCTGTTGTTGTTTGATGTTTGTTTGTTTGTTTGTTTGTTTGTTTGTTTGTTTGTTTGTTTGTTTGTTTGTTTGTTTGTTTGTTTGTTTGTTTGTTTGTTTGTTTGTTTGTTTCCCCGTTTGACCCCGTTCCTCAAAGCTATCAGTCAGACAGACCGAGGATTTTATTTGTGTCTCGTTCATAGGACACATGCGTAACATATATTTGGACACACAGTAAAACTACCAACGAATAACCGCACAGCGATTTACGAGAGACAATAATTACTTAAAATACAATTGTAATGATAAAATTAATAACCTCAAAGCCTCTTGAAAAGACAAAATATACACACATATAAATATATGTTTTGATACTTAAACACAACGAGTATCGTATATGAATCCTTATCGGTTTAGGAACAGTTTCCAAAACTCCTCCAGGAAATAAGGTCCTGTCAGGCCATCTTTGTTTTTTAATCAGTTAGTACATACCCCAACACTTTCACCGGTAGGCAAAAAACACACACACAGTTTGAGTGCTGTCGCGGCCTTTGTCTTCGGATGACTATATGTCAATTAGTTGTATCAAAACGTCTTTATCTCGTGATCACCTCTCATTCAAATGTGACATTCGTTCAAAATCCGTGAGCATGACCAAAACACAGATACGTGAATAAATGTCTTTTGCAGCCGCTCCATTAAGGGAACGAATGAGGAGATAATTTGTCAAGCGAACCTGTTGTATTACGTGCAATGAAATATCTGATATTCTTACCTCCCCCACCTGTCCTTTGCACATCGGTGTATCTGCTCCTGTCCTGACGTTTCCTGTTTGTGTATGTGTGATGTCTTTGTAATGGAGCGCGGGGCGTCTCTGGGCTTGAATTATTCCGTTCATGTGCATGCCGTGCAGCAGAATCTATACTACGACTAACTCTGACACAAAAGAGGCCAAGCACGAGGACTAAGGTGGTAACGTGTTTCAACGTTGTCATCATCCTTTCGTAAAATCTGTCCCCTGAAAGCTTCTTTCTATTCGATCCTTTTCAAGATTTACCGATTCTAGTGTGTCAGAGCTGACTTACTAACTCACTTATTCTAGTGTGTCAATGCTGACGTATTTATAACCATTTCAACAAGAAGTGGTATCATAGTCTCTGACTAAAGCTTCCGATAAGACGGGAAACAATGATCACGAATTACGTCTGATCAGCTCATTGGCTCATAGATGATATATAAATACATGTCTTAGCCTGATTACGACAGAAAACATTTCCTGTTTACCACACGCTATATGTCGCTGAAAGTTGTATTATGCCACAAGAAGCAATATTTCTGTCAATTATCGAGCCAGGGAGACCAGTGATTGATATTATGAGCCGTCGGGGTAGGATGAGACGTCATCAACCAAGACACTGAGCCAGACAAGCCGAGTCATTAATATACATTGTTGGCGATTAAACATGAATTGTAATTAGTCTCGTGTGATAACAGTTGAATGATCACGTGTGAGAACGGTTGATTAATCCCTTGTGATAGCAGTCGTTAATCCTGTGTAATAAAAGTCGATTATCCCTGTGTGACAACAGTTGTGTAATCCTATGAGGTAACAGTTGATCTATCCCGTGATAACAGTTGTTAATCCTGTGTTTTATAAGTTGAGTATCCCTGTGTGGTAACATTTGTGTAGTCCTATGAAGTAACAGTTAATAAATCCCGCGATAACAGTTGATAAATCCTGTGATAACAGCTGATTAATTCGAGGTGATAACAGTTGTTAATCCTGTGTTTTATAAGTTGAGTATCCCTGTGTGGTAACGTTTGTGTAGTCCTATGAAGTAACAGTTAATAAATCCCGCGATAACAGTTGATAAATCCTGTGATAACAGCTGATTAATTCGAGGTGATAACAGTTGTTAATCCTGTGTTTTATAAGTTGAGTATCCCTGTATGGCAACATTTGTGTAGTCCTATGAAGTAACAGTTAATACATCCCGCGATAACAGTTGATAAATCCTGTGATAACAGTTGATTAATTCGAGGTGATAACAGTTGTTAATCCTGTGTTTTATAAGTTGAGTATCCCTGTGTGGCAACATTTGTGTAGTCCTATGAAGTAACAGTTAATACATCCCGCGATAACAGTTGATAAATCCTGTGATAACAGCTGATTAATTCGAGGTGATAACAGTTGTTAATCCTGTGTTTTATAAGTTGAGTATCCCTGTGTGGCAACATTTGTGTAGTCCTATGAAGTAACAGTTAATACATCCCGTAATAACAGTTCATTAATCTGTGTGATAACAGTTGTTAATCCAATGAGATAACAGTTAATAAATCCCGCGATAACAGTTGATTAATTCGAGGTGATAACAGTTGTTAATCCTGTGTTTTATAAGTTGAGTATCCCTGTGTGGTAACATTTGTGTAGTCCTATGAAGTAACAGTTAATACATCCCGCGATAACAGTTGATAAATCCTGTGATAACAGCTGATTAATTCGAGGTGATAACAGTTGTTAATCCTGTGTTTTATAAGTTGAGTATCCCTGTGTGGTAACGTTTGTGTAGTCCTATGAAGTAACAGTTAATACATCCCGTAATAACAGTTCATTAATCTGTGTGATAACAGTTGTTAATCCAATGAGATAACAGTTAATAAATCCCGCGATAACAGTTGATTAATTCGAGGTGATAACAGTTGTTAATCCTGTGTTTTATAAGTTGAGTATCCCTGTGTGGCAACATTTGTGTAGTCCTATGAAGTAACAGTTAATACATCCCGTAATAACAGTTCATTAATCTGTGTGATAACAGTTGTTAATCCAATGAGATAACAGTTAATAAATCCCGCGATAACAGTTGATTAATTCGAGGTGATAACAGTTGTTAATCCTGTGTTTTATAAGTTGAGTATCCCTGTGTGGCAACATTTGTGTAGTCCTATGAAGTAACAGTTAATACATCCCGTAATAACAGTTCATTAATCTGTGTGATAACAGTTGTTAATCCAATGAGATAACAGTTAATAAATCCCGCGATAACAGCTGATTAATTCGAGGTGATAACAGTTGTTAATCCTGTGTTTTATAAGTTGAGTATCCCTGTGTGGTAACGTTTGTGTAGTCCTATGAAGTAACAGTTAATAAATCCCGCGATAACAGTTGATAAATCCTGTGATAACAGCTGATTAATTCGAGGTGATAACAGTTGTTAATCCTGTGTTTTATAAGTTGAGTATCCCTGTGTGGCAACATTTGTGTAGTCCTATGAAGTAACAGTTAATACATCCCGCGATAACAGTTGATAAATCCTGTGATAACAGCTGATTAATTCGAGGTGATAACAGTTGTTAATCCTGTGTTTTATAAGTTGAGTATCCCTGTGTGGCAACATTTGTGTAGTCCTATGAAGTAACAGTTAATACATCCCGCGATAACAGTTGATAAATCCTGTGATAACAGTTGATTAATTCGAGGTGATAACAGTTGTTAATCCTGTGTTTTATAAGTTGAGTATCCCTGTGTGGCAACATTTGTGTAGTCCTATGAAGTAACAGTTAATACATCCCGTAATAACAGTTCATTAATCTGTGTGATAACAGTTGTTAATCCAATGAGATAACAGTTAATAAATCCCGCGATAACAGTTGATTAATTCGAGGTGATAACAGTTGTTAATCCTGTGTTTTATAAGTTGAGTATCCCTGTGTGGTAACATTTGTGTAGTCCTATGAAGTAACAGTTAATACATCCCGCGATAACAGTTGATAAATCCTGTGATAACAGCTGATTAATTCGAGGTGATAACAGTTGTTAATCCTGTGTTTTATAAGTTGAGTATCCCTGTGTGGCAACATTTGTGTAGTCCTATGAAGTAACAGTTAATACATCCCGTAATAACAGTTCATTAATCTGTGTGATAACAGTTGTTAATCCAATGAGATAACAGTTAATAAATCCCACGATAACAGTTGATTAATTCGAGGTGATAACAGTTGTTAATCCTGTGTTTTATAAGTTGAGTATCCCTGTGTGGTAACATTTGTGTAGTCCTATGAAGTAACAGTTAATACATCCCGCGATAACAGTTGATAAATCCTGTGATAACAGCTGATTAATTCGAGGTGATAACAGTTGTTAATCCTGTGTTTTATAAGTTGAGTATCCCTGTGTGGTAACGTTTGTGTAGTCCTATGAAGTAACAGTTAATACATCCCGTAATAACAGTTCATTAATCTGTGTGATAACAGTTGTTAATCCAATGAGATAACAGTTAATACATCCCGTAATAACAGTTCATTAATCTGTGTGATAACAGTTGTTAATCCAATGAGATAACAGTTAATAAATCCCGCGATAACAGTTGATTAATTCGAGGTGATAACAGTTGTTAATCCTGTGTTTTATAAGTTGAGTATCCCTGTGTGGCAACATTTGTGTAGTCCTATGAAGTAACAGTTAATACATCCCGTAATAACAGTTCATTAATCTGTGTGATAACAGTTGTTAATCCAATGAGATAACAGTTCATAAATCCCGCGATAACAGTTGATTGATCCGGTGTGATAACAGCTGTTAATCCTGTGTTATAAAAGTTGAGTATCCCTGTGTTACAACAGTTGTGTAATCCTATGAAGTAACAGTTGATATATCCCGTTATAAGTTGATTTATCCGGTGTTATTATAATAACAATCGTTCAATCCCATGTGATAACAGTTGATAAACCCTGTGTTATAACAGCTGATTGATCACATATGATAACAGTTTATTGATCCCATGAGATAACATTTCATTCATCAACCGTAATGTTATATTAACCCTATGTGATACCAGTTCATCAATAATGTACTGAAAATTGTGACCCTCCCCTCTCCTTATATTTTTGGATGATTCTCCCCATGCATATTTTTTCCATTTCCAGACAAAATGCAAAAGCACTTTATTTGGTATTATATTATTCCATTTTTCAATCACCTTCCCCATATATGTGACTGATTCTTTATGACTCAGAGTCTCTCCCTTAGACCGCTCCCTAAGATCTCAGGATGTCACCAAATACAATGACAATATTTCTAACGATGAGCAATTAAAATGAAGTATCTAGCACCTATGCATTCATTAATTCATTCGGCATCAGTAGGCGCTCAGTATATTCAGGTTAACACTTTTGACACTACTTATACCGTTAAATGAGGATTTGAAGGGTGAGAAGTATGATTCCAAGACGTCAAGAAAAAGAGGGCTAGGGTGATCCTAGCACAGTCAGGCTGGTTAGTTTCAGGGCCCTTGCCCCCTATACACACAGCCCAGACGGCGAATGGGACTTTTCCTAGGAAGCGCTGCCGAGTCAAACCCACTGAGAACATTCCGGAGAATGTGAAGACTCCCCAACGCTGCAGCCTTCTGCATTACCCAGATTGTCAGAAGGGCTGTATTCCTGGTAGCAAACCCTGGTACTCTCCCAAAGTCAGTAAACAGGTACCAAACCTAAGGCACCGAGAACAGTGGGGAATCGGACATTTTGGTACTTGGGATGCAAGCGTGACATTCCGAAAGCGAGGTCCGTTGTTTTTGCCATGTTTTTCCTGAATCTTGTCAATCGAATTAGTGACAGGAAATTTGATGATATAAATGATTTTATTGGATTTATAAATAGGGACAATATCAGGTTTGTTGGCCTGGATAGGTCTGAGGTTGCATACGGGCCTATTCCAAAGAATTTTGTAATTATTATTTCCAATGACGCCCTCTACATATTCTGGGTCGTACCATGGATGGACCTCTGTGTCAAAACCAAAAGACTGGCCAAGGCGGTAATAAAATGATCGCGCCATGCCACCATGTCGCTTAAGATACTGTGTTTGTGCCAAAGCTGGGCATTCACTTACAATGCGCTGGATATTAAATTCATTGCATATTCTACATTTCATAGTTACATTTTTATGCAAAATCACACATTGACGGTTTCGAGTGGGAAGTGATTGGCCCTGAACAGCAAACGGAAAGCCTTCTGTTTCACTTTTCAGGCCAGCCGACTTCATCCAAGCGATGGACTCCGCAGGATTGCTGATATTCTCAACACACTGCACATAAACTCAATACAGTGGTCGTTCAGATAGCCTCTCCCTGAAAAACTGAGTCTGGGCCGATTTGACAGGGCACTTCGCTTAGTTGACACATTTCTGTACCGTCCAGCAGTACAGAACCATCAACAAAATCAACACTGACATTGAGATTATGTCCCACATACTTGGCTCGTTTAAGGAAACTGTGGAATGCCTTGTTTTCACCATGAGTCTTTACATGCTTCACAAGAGGATCGTCAGACAAACAAATGTGTGCAGAAGTGCACAATACAATTCTATCATTAAGAGCCCCTACGTTAATCAAACCATCTCGTATCTGCTACTGTTGGAACTAAGGGTCCATGCAAAATCGCCTGACGAGTGTTGGCAGTTAGCTCACCATGCTCGCGGCGCAAACAACTTCAGTCGCCGGCGCTGGTCGCGAATATTCTGCTCTGTCAGGTATGCATACATTGACATGGCTTTGTCCCAATGCTGCTCAATTAATTTGCTATTTATTCGTGGTATTTCTAGACATCGCGATTCGCTGTGCAGAGTTGCGTCCCTCGGGCACACCAGAAACCTATGATTGTGGGTTCGAATCCCGGTTCGCCCCGATACTGTTTCTAGGTTTGTCAGCACCATACCCGTGCTCGTGGGTTTTACCGAACTGGTAAACGTCCGAGACCTGCATCACTTCGGGCTTTCCTCCACCTCGCGATATAACTGGAATATTGTTAAAAGCGGCGTTAAACCCAACTCACTCACTCACTCTAGACATCCTGTTGCACACTCAAGAACTGTGGACTTCGAGTTGGTATCTGGAACATGCTTGTAGTCGCTTGTTTACAATTATTTGCTGGCTAGCATGAACTGGAATATTGTTGACTGCAGCGATCAGCAAACAAACAAACGTAATTTGTACCTGAATATTCTATATTCCGTTCAATTATTCTATTTTGGATTTGCTTACTTGAGAAATATACGACGAGTGGGAGTTGTTTATCGTACAATAAAACGCGCAGCCCCTCGTGGTTTATTCTCCCTGCAGTGTTTTAATTGAGAAATATACGACGAGTGGGAGTTGTTTATCGTACAATAAAACGCGCAGCCCCTCGTGGTTTATTCTCCCTGCAGTGTTTTAATTGAGAAATAAAAGACGAGTGGGAGTTGTTTATCGTACAATAAAACGCGCAGCCCCTCGTGGTTTATTCTCCCTGCAGTGTTTTAATTGAGAAATATACGACGAGTGGGAGTTGTTTATCGTACAATAAAACGCGCAGCCCCTCGTGGTTTATTCTCCCTGCAGTGTTTTAATTGAGAAATAAAAGACGAGTGGGAGTTGTTTATCGTACAATAAAACGCGCAGCCCCTCGTGGTTTATTCTCCCTGCAGTGTTTTAATTGAGAAATATACGACGAGTGGGAGTTGTTTATCGTACAATAAAACGCGCAGCCCCTCGTGGTTTATTCTCCCTGCAGTGTTTTAATTGAGAAATATACGACGAGTGGGAGTTGTTTATCGTACAATAAAACGCGCAGCCCCTCGTGGTTTATTCTCCCTGCAGTGTTTTAATTGAGAAATAAAAGACGAGTGGGAGTTGTTTATCGTGCAATAAAACACTGCCGGGAGAATAAACCATGAGGGGATAAACAACGACCACGAGCCGTTTGTTTCTTATATGAGATATCAACATGATATACAGCCTCTTTAAGAATGATGATAAAATGTACGAGCTTTAAAACTATTTACCCGCATTTTAATAATGATGACTCCCTGGATAGAATCCGACCTTGGCAATGTCGGACAAGTCCATTTTATGGACAGGTGGGTTTGGTATTGGTATTTCCAGCATATTCTCACAATCCTCATGCCGATTATCGGTACATTTTCTCCTAATACCGATTGTCATATCTCTACCACTTTCGGATGCGATCGTTCGGTCACTGCGTATATCTGCATACCCCAGCTAAATCTAAGGGGAACAACTCACAAGACACTTCCCTATCTAATATAACGTCGTCCAATATATATATGAGTTATCAAGTTGCGACTGCATTTTCGAATCTCCAGAAATGACGTCATGATAGAACAATGTTTTATCGTGAAATAAACCACGCTTCGTTCTTCATTGTTCTTTGCGATTTATAGCGTAGTTATCTTATATTGTACGATAAACAACGTCCACGAGTCGTTATTTTCTTGTATGTCATATCAACATTATGTACAGCCTATTCAAGGATGTAAATACAGCGTATAAGCTTTAAAAATATTTAACCGTATTTAGATAATGATGACTCCCTGAATACAATCAGACCTCGGCAATGACGGACAAGTCCATTTTAGGGAGGGGAGGGGGTTAAGTTTGGCATTTCCCACATATTCTGACAAGTTTCACCTAGATTATCTGTACCTTTTCTCCCAATGCCGATTGTCACATCTCTCCCATGTTTGGATGCGATCGTTCGGCCATTGCGTTTATCTACGTTGGCCAGCAACATCCGTCGGGGATCACTCTCCTACCCAGAGTGCCATGCGACCAGCATAGTACCTCTGCCACAGGCCAGCGCCATGTGACGATTCGTCACAGCTTACACAGTTCATTCAAGATATTGCATATGTTTTTCATCTGTTTCATTTTGACATATCTAGATAAACATATGTCATAGAATATTTAACTTTCATTGAGAAAATATCCTAAATCGTGAAAAACTATTTCTATTTGCGTAGTTATCCCAGGTTTACATTGACTGTTCGTCTCCACGTGCTGTCATCGAAGCCCAACGGAGAGCTAGCGATACGGTCGCTTTGATGTGTATTGTCATGCAACTCACTGTCGCAGTTGTAGTAGCATATTTATATAATTATGCAAAACAATATGTAAAGCACCCCTAAATATTAATACAGGATATATACCATCTCCTAACACACTTGCGGGATAACCTCTATTTCCTCGACCCGTCCATATTAATATCCAATTTCGTAACAATTTATAATTGTAATTCACCTTAATAATATTTGACTCGTCTATATTTTTATATATATTGAAAACCTCGTTGCATAAAAAGGTATGTCGGGTGGTCAGTATACTGTAAAAATGTGTTGAGATCCAAAGCACAAACCACAAACCTGAACACGATCCTTTTTACTTTTGACATGTTCGGGATTGCGCTTAACAGCTTTACGCGTACGTCCGCATGTAGGGAAGACCCGCGTTAGTTGTAAGTCCTGGTGGTAATGTGTCATCCAAGCGCCTGTGAATATAATTTGCTCATCTAATTTTGATATATGATAAACATCTTATTCATATTTGACTTAACGCCTGATGATATGCACTTTATTCAAACATATCTGAATTCTGAACATTTAAAAACTTTAAACGTGTTTCAACATATTTGTATTCTAAAGATGTTTAGATTATGGCGATGTTGTGTTTAGGTGGTGGATAGGCTGTGAGACGCTAGCTCATTTCCTGTGTTTAGATCCTGCACGTATTTAGATAGAACACACCATATCTTGTATGCGTTTACATTTTACAACACATTTTTACAGTGTAATCGCAGGAATATGACACATGCAAACACATAAAAGACAAAAAATAAGTCAAGTACTTGTCACATAAATTGTATTTGAAATGAAAATAACATTATGAAATATATGATGTATGAATATCACAACAGGCAAGAATGCATTTTACCGGACGCTTTCTGGGTGTGCACGAGCTCCTTTCTTAGTACCAGTTGCTAAGTTTGTCAGACGCCATATTTGGCCGCTTTGCTAAATTAGCTGAAATTTTCGGGCTAAAACACAACAGATGAATTACATGCTTTCGTAAGTAAATGTAATCTTTAGTTGCCAAGGTAATGAAAAATACTACGTGTTTGTTGAAATGTGTCTGTCACTGATGAGGTTGCCGCACGCCATTATGGAAGATCTATTTTCGAGTACCTTTTCGATGTTGATGTGTTTGATGTTTTTGGATTGATTTGATATTAAATTTCGAGGTTTAGTCTAATTAAACTAATAGTATATAAATGCAAGCTGTCTGGGCGTAAGCGAGAGAGGAGGGGTGAGGTGAAATGTGGTTTAATGTCGAACACCGTTGTGTCGAAGATGAAGGGACCTACGTAAATACTTCGAGTTATCCAAGGTTCGGCACAACCGAAATGATGAATATGGAAGGAATACGCAGGGACCATGGTGTTTTACTGTGCATGCATGCATTATGTGTGTGTGTGTGTGTGTGTGTGTGTGTGTGTGTGTGTGTGTGTGTGTGTGTGTGTGTGTGTGTGTGTGTGTGTGTGTGTGTGTGTGTGTGTGTGTGTGTGTGTGTGTGTGTCTGTGTGTGTGTGTAGAGACGCGCGTGCGCGCGTGCGGGTGCGGGTGCGTGTGTGTGTGTGTGTGTGTGTGTGTGTGTGTGTGTGCGTGCGTGCGTGCGTGCGTGCGTGCGTGCGTGCGTGCGTGTGTGTGTGTGCTTGTACTTGTCCGGACTAGTGCTGACTTCATAGTGCTAGCTCCCTGAAATACCCTGCCGCAGTTCCACATGAATACCCCACATAGACACAATATACTGACTCCGAGCCGACCAGTCCTTGTTTTATCCCCTTAATGCCGAGCGCCAGGCAAAGTAACAACAAATACCATATTTTAACGACCATTGGTATCACGCGGCTACCAATGATTGTACCCACTCTAAACAGTCGAGAACAGATGTTCGGCGTGATAACTATAAGCCTTAATCCCTAGGCAACCCAACACCTTGTATGGGCGAGCGTCTCTAAATGTGAAAACATAAATACATTAATACATTAAAAAATATCACGCGATAACATAAATACATGGTTATCCCACAACAGCTTGATCGGAACTCATACGTTGGTTGGGCATTGCTGGCAGACGGGTCTGGTGTACTCAGCAGAATCAGGGGGGATAATCTCGACATAACTGTGTCTTATACTGCTGATGTCTGTCGATGGTGCCTGTGTGGACGCTCCAGGAACCACTCGTGTGTAGCTGTGAGTCCTGCTGATCTGTCTGTCTGTTTGAAAGGTGTTATATATGTGTGGCTCATCTTGCAGATGCTGCTTACGCGTCATCGCTCTACAAAACATAACACTGGATTCGTTAGCAATCAATGGTTTTGAAAATATTTACTCGAAAACATTAAGTTGATAACGTTTTGTTGACGATATTTAGTCGGAAAATTCCGTTGTCAACTATTTGCCATCATTAGCTCGACAATATTCAGTCGACAACATTCAACTGACAATATTCGGTCGACAATATTGGGCGGTGGGATAGCCTAGTGATTAAAGCGTTCCCTAGTCACGCCGAAGACTTGGGTTCGATTTCCCACATGGGTACAATGTGTGAAGCCCACTTCTAATGTTCCCCGCCATGATATTGCAGGAATATTGCTAAAATCGGCGTAAAACCATACTCACTCACAATCTCACTCGGTCGGCAATGGTCACTTTAGAACATTCAGTTTCCAGTGGTCAATAAAACCAGTGGTCAGTGAATTGAGTATAATCGAACCTTGTAGATCGAACATCGCACCCGTGCTAACCCCCCCCCCCCCCCCCCCCCCCCCCTCGTCCCCCACCCCCAGAAACACCAAGAGGCGATGATTTGTTTTGTTTGTTGTTTAACGCCTCACTCAGCAATGTAACAGCAAAATGACGGAGGTCTTAAAATAAGTGCGGCGTAAAACAATAAACCTACCATCATGATGGCATACACACGTACCTGTAAACCAGTGCCTGTGTTCCCACAAACCCGAAACAGAGTATCACAACAATAGCTCCCAATAGGTACGATATCTCTGAATAAGAAAAAAAGCAATATATAGTTTTGAATGTACAAATATATTTCTTTCTCGATTGGGTGGCACGGGTGGCCCAGTCGTCTAAGGCGCCGCGATTCGCTGTGCAGAGTTGCGTCCCTTGGGCACACCAGAAACCTATGATTGTGGGTTCGAATTCCGGTTCACCCCGATTATGTTTCTAGGTTCGTCAGCACCATACCCGTGCTCGTGGGTTTCACCGAGGTGGTAAACGTCTGAGATCTGCATCACTTCCGGCTTTCCTCCCACATTAAGCTGACACGCCGTGATATAACTGGAATACTGTTCAAAGCGGCGTTAAACTCACTCACTCACTCACTTTCTCGATTGATACACATTATATGCTACTCGGCCCTGGGTTAGGACATGGGCTGAAAAGGGAGGTAATCCTCACCATGATGAGCGCTCTAATCAAGTTATTCTTACTTAGTTTGTGTTGTTTTATATGAGGCGCCGTTTTGCCATTTATTCCTTTCTTGTGATATCAAGAACTTATTTACTGATATAAAAAAATATTGATATCGCAATTTGATTATATAACTATTGCTGAAATATTTATTGATATTACAAATTCGATTTTTAATGATCAAGGAGTGAGCAAATATCCATGTTCCCTCCCGGAATATATTCAGATTGTTTGTTTTTGTTTGTTTGTTTGTTGTTTAATGCCACACTCAATATTACAGCTATATGACGGCGGTATGTAAATAATCGAGTGTGGACCAGACATTTCAGTGATTGATATCATGAGATGACAAGCATCAACTTAACAAGCATCAACCAAGTCAGCGAGCCTGACCACCCGATCCCGTTAGTCGCCTCTTACGACAAGCATAGTCGCCTTTCACGGCAAGCATGGGTTGCTGAAGACCTATTCTACCCCGGATCTTCACGGGTCGGAATATAGTAAGAAACACGGGCCGTACGAAACTTACTGTTCAGTATGTTACACACTTCTCTGATGTCCCACTCGTTGGTCCTTTCCCTCGTGAGCGACTTAATCTGTGTTGATGTAGGTATATTGGCACCTCTCGTGTCCGAAACGTGTAGAACTAACACAAGGCAGGCCGCGATATCTAGACAAACACACCTCATCATATCATCGCCGTGTTCTGAAACCACTAAATCTCGGAAATAGTGCTTTCCGCACGCACTGTAGACTTCTTGTTCTAATTGTGGCTGATTCCCCAACACTTATATACATATGCTCGGGATATTATTACACAGTGACTTAATTCGTTCCCGTGACCAATGTACGAAGCGTGATTCAATATTCCGCTCTAAGGAAACTGAAGCACTAGCCGATCCATATATGGATTTCGTGATGCCGTGTCATGTTAAGTATAATTAAGTAGTTATTCTTACTCCTGTTGATTATTTCCTGATTAAGACGTGTCCCTTTCACTCATTACTTTTTTAGTTCTTTGGACAACGGTTAAAATATCCTAACAGTTTAACTTGCAGTTGGATAAGTCACAGTCGGTGGTGGTGATGACTTAACATTTCACCACTGACTTGTGGGGCTTAGTTCTGCACCGCTCCACACTCCGGGGTGGTGATGACTTAACATTTCACCACTGCCTTGTGGGGCTTAGTTCTGCACCGTTCCAGAATCCGTGGTGGTGATGACTTAACATTTCACCACTGACTTGTGGGGTTTAGTTCTGCACCGCTCCACACTCCGGGGTGGTGATGACTTAACATTTCACCACTGCCTTGTGGGGCTTAGTTCTGCACCACTCCACACTCCGGGGTGGTGATGACTTAACTTTTCACCACTGCCTGATGGGGTTTAGTTCTTCACCACTCCACACTCCGGGGTGGTGATGACTTAACATTTCACCACTGACTTGTGGGGTTTAGTTCTGCACCGCTCCACACTCCGGGGTGGTGATGACTTAACATTTCACCACTGCCTTGTGGGGCTTAGTTCTGCACCACTCCTCACTCCGGGGTGTTGTTGACTTAACATTTCACCACTGACTTGTGGGGCTTAGTTCTGCACCGCTCTAACTCAAGGGTGGTGATGACTTAACATTTCACCACTGACTTGTGGGGCTAAGTTCTGCACCGTTCCACAATCCGGGTTGGTGATGACATAACTTTTCACCACTGCCTTGTGGGGCTTAGTACTGCACCACTCCACACTCCGGGGTGGTGATGACTTAACATGTCACCACTGACTTGTGGGGCTTAGTTCTGCACCGCTCCACACTCCGGGGTGGTGATGACTTAACATTTCACCACTGACTTGTGGGGCTTAGTTCTGCACCACTCCTCACTCCGGGGTGTTGATGACTTAACATTTCACCACTGACTTGTGGGGCTTAGTTCTGCACCGCTCCACACTCAAGGGTGGTGATGACTTAACATTTCACCAATGCATTGTGGGGCTTAGTTCGGCATCGCTCCACACTCCGGGGTGGTGATGACTTAACATTTCACCACTGCCTTGTGGGGCTTGGTTCTGCACCGCTCCACACTCCGTGGTGGTGATGACTTAACATTTCACCACTGCCTTGTGGGGCTTGGTTCTGCACCGCTCCACACTCTGGGGTGGTGATGACTTAACATTTCACCACTGACTTGTGGGGCTTAGTTCTGCACCGTTCCACACTCCGGGGTGGTGATGACTTCACATTTCACCACTGACTTGTGGGGCTTGGTTCTGACACCGCTCCACACTCCGGGGTGGTGATGACTTCACATTTCACCACTGCCTTGTGGGGTTTAGTTCTGCACCACTCCACACTCCGGTGTGGTGATGACTTCACATTTCACCACTGACTTGTGGGGCTTGGTTCTGCACCGCTCCACACTCCGTGGTGGTGATGACTTCACATTTCACAACTGCCTCGTGGGGCTTAGTTCTGCACCGTTCCACACTCCGGGGTGGTGATGACTTCACATTTCACCACTGCCTTGTGGGGTTTAGTTCTGCACCGCTCCACACTCCGGCGTGGTGATGACTTAACATTTCACCACTGACTTGTGGGGCTAAGTTCTGCACCGTTCCACAATCCGGGGTGGTGATGACTTAACATTTCACCACTGACTTGTCGGGCTTAGTTCTGCACCGCTCCACACTCCGGGGTGGTGATGACTTAACTTTTCACCACTGCCTGATGGGGTTTAGTTCTTCACCACTCCACACTCCGGCGTGGTGATGACTTAACATTTCACCACTGCCTTGTGGGGCTTAGTTCTGCACCACTCCACACTCCGGGGTGGTGATGACTTAACATTTCACCACTGCCTGGTTGGGCTTAGTACTGACCGCTCCACACTCCGGGGTGGTGATGACTTAACTTTTCACCACTGACTTGTGGGGATAAGTTCTGCACCGTTCCACAATCCGGGTTGGTGATGACTTATCTTTTCACCACTGCCTGATGGGGTTTAGTTCTTCACCACTCCACACTCCGGGGTGGTGATGACTTAACATTTCACCACTGCCTTGTGGGGCTTAGTTCTTCACCACTCCACACTCTGGGGTGGTGATGACTTAACATGTCACCACTGACTTGTGGGGCTTAGTTCTGCACCGCTCCACACTTCGGGGTGGTGATGACTTAACATTTCACCACTGACTTGTGGGGCTTAGTTCTGCACCGCTCTAATTCAAGGGTGGTGATGACTTAACATTTCACCACTGACTTGTGGGGCTAATTTCTGCACCGTTCAACAATCCGGGTTGGTGATGACTTAACTTTTCACCACTGCCTTGTGGGGCTTAGTTCTGCACCGCTCCACACTCCGTGGTGGTGATGAATTAACATTTCACCACTGCCTTGTGGGGCTTAGTTCTGCACCACTCCACACTCTGGGGTGGTGATGACTTAACATTTCACCACTGACTTGTGGGGCTTAGTTCTGCACCGCTCCACACTCAAGGGTGGTGATGACTTAACATTTCACCAATGCCTTGTGGGGCTTAGTTCTGCACCGCTCCACACTCCGGGGTGGTGATGACTTAACATTTCACCACTGCCTTGTGGGGCTTAGTTCTGCACCACTCCACACTCCGGTGTGGTGATGACTTCACATTTCATCACTGACTTGTGGGGCTTGGTTCTGCACCGCTCCACACTCCGGGGTGGTGATGACTTCACATTTCACAACCGCCTCGTGGGGCTTAGTTCTGCACCGTTCCACACTCCGGGGTGGTGATGACTTCACATTTCACCACTGCCTTGTGGGGTTTAGTTCTGCACCGCTCCACACTCCGGTGTGGTGATGACTTAACATTTCACCACTGACTTGTCGGGCTAAGTTCTGCACCGTTCCACACTCCGGGGTGGTGATGACTTAACATTTCACCACTGACTTGTGGGGCTTAGTTCTGCACCACTCCACATTCCGGGGTGGTGATGACTTAACATGTCACCACTGACTTGTGGGGTTTTAATCTGCACCGCTCCACACCCCGGGGTGGTGATAACTTACCATTTCACCACTGACTTGTGGGACTTAGTTCTGGCCGCTCCGGCGCAGTGATGACTTAACATTTCACCCCTGTCTTGCCACTAGCTTATTTGCATATCACATCAAAGCACGTTTCTTGCTTGCTCAAATTTTGAAATGAGAGTTATCCGGTCCAACGAAAGTTTTCAGTACGCTTTACAGATAGTTTAGTGTAATTGTAAAAAGATGCTTTTTCAACTTCAACATTGAGGAACAAGGCATGGTATCTTCACACAAGAAGTAAAGGTTAGTAAAGTAATAATTTCTCAATGAAAGTTCACCATTTCATTATATACATGTATGTTTAATATCTTAAAGGGGAGACATTTCAATCTGAAACAGATAAAAAACCTACTGTAATTAAAAGGGCTGTGTAAAATGTGACGATTCAAGTCCCTCTGATCTGTGGCAGAGGTGACGCGAAGAACCCGAGGTAGGAGAGTGATACGGCGCATTGTGAGGTCACAGTCACAGCCGTGGGTATCATGTGCAAACTAAAACTTAAACGGGATTATAATATTATTTAAACGTACTGCAGGAACATATCTATTGAGTCTTACTTAAGTTTAGAACTTGTAACCATAATCTACTCGTACTTATTGAAACTGGGAGATGGAGAAAAATACCTTTAACCGAAAGGAAATGCCCTCTTTGTACATTATCTTACACAGGTGATGAATTCCATTATTTGTTTATTTGTCCATCTTTAAAAAACGAATGAAAACATTTTTTACACAGATTCTACTACGTACATCCCTCCCAATATGCATAAAATGAATTTACTTTTCGATTATTCCCGATTAGGAACATTGAAAAAACTGTCCAAATTTTGTAAAAATCCTGATGTCATTGTTCAAGTCCGTCAATTAAAACACATCTGTGACGTCATTCTATTGTTTGAACGCTCCATTATTTTTCAGGAATGGAGAGTTGCTTGTCATTTGCATTTGAATTTTTCAAATATTTTCAACGACAGAATATTTTGTCAAAGTGTAAAAGTAGGGATGAGTTTAAAGTAGGGAAATATCCTCGTAACTCTCCATTCCTTAAAAATAATGGGCCTCGGCCCCTGCGGGGCCTCTGCTCCATTATTTTTAAGGAATAGAGAGTTACTCGGACATTCCCCTCTACGTAACTCTCCTTCTTATTAAATTGCACATATATTGCTACCCTAGTGAATCTGTATCAATATGGATACATGTTCGGCAAAGATGTTTTTGTATCTATTCTATATTTATATGTATATGTGTTATGTTGTTGAAATAATGCTCCACCTCTAAAGTGGCCTGAAAGAAGTTCAGTTCAGTTCACTCCACTTCAACCACTCAGACAGCGGGATCAGGGTCTACAAATATCTACAGCATCATCTCAATTCCTTCCTTGAAAAGGAAATGGAATCGCCTTTAGGATATGACAGTGGGTTGAGTAAGATCATATACGTCACGCATCAACCGGAGCCATTGAACTAAACGGTAATATTTGTCAGCTATAAACGTCCCTCCACATTCCCTGTCATTCAGGGTATTGTGACACTGAACGTGTCTCCACATTCCCTGTCATTACGGATAATGTGACACTGTACGTCCCTCGACATTCCCACTCATTCAGGGTATTGTGACACTGAACGTCTCTCCACATTCCCTGTCATTCAGGGTATTGTGACACTGAACGTGTCTCCACACACCCAGTCATTACGGGTAATGTGACACTGTACGTCCCTCGACACCCCCAGTCATTCAGGG